TGTCAACATTTTCTTTAGCCTGTTTGACAATATTTTGGAGAACTTCACTGGTTAGGGATTCATCTAGAACTTGTTTATCTGGCAGGTAAACTTTAAGGGTTGCATTAGCGGTCGTCATTCCCAGAACATTGCGTGCAATACATTGATAAACACCTTCATCTTCTCGAGTGACATGAATTATCGTTAGCTCACTATCTCGTTGTGTTAACTTAAATTAGCTTATGTCATATTAGTCAAAGTCACCATTTTTTTCTGCGACTATTGCAAGAATCCTGAATTTTCTAAGAAAATACTGGATATAAAACATTTACTAGTTGTAATTTGAGAAACAGATTAGAAATTGAATACCTCAATATGTAGATCGTCGTGTGTTATTTCTACACCATTAAAACACCATTTTATGGATGGGGGTGGCTGTCCGGCAACTCGACAGACTAAAGTAATTTGCTCGCCCGGACTAACTGTTTTCGATTCCGGACGATCCACAATATGTGGAGCTGAGTTGTTCAGAATTTGCAGCTCGAAAGAGTGTTGGACTTGACCGTTTTGGTTGGTCGCTACACAAATGTATCTGAACCACTTAAATAACAATTTGCATTAGCAATTTCAAAGTAAAAATGTCTTAAGAAAAACGAGCGCTGAGTTAAATTAGTAGAACAATAAAAAAATCATAATCATACTGGCTAATTTAACTTGATAAGAATTGTTTGTGAGCCTAACAATTATTTCCAACAAATTAATGGACAAATTAAAAAAACTCTCAGTCTAAAAATTTCTCATCATTCTACTCCCCCTACCTCCCCTTGCTTTTCCTTTCACTTCTGTCTATTCTCCTCTGATGTAAAAATCCGCGCAAAAGATTCTTCATCTTGATTATGACTATGTCGTGCTTTACAATAATGATATTCTATTGCATAACTTCTCAATTGTGGATTTCGCTGTAAAATTTCGATTAAACATTCACGATGTACATTGTCTGCAAATTTAGCACACATGACATATTGCAGTTTAATATTTGTTTTTCGAATTCCAAAAATCATGAATTAAATTAAGAACTTATTTATTTCCGTTTGCTTAATATTTCAAATTAGTGGAGGACATTCAAGATTTCTGCAAAGGGATGCAAAACAAAAGGTGTACTCTCAGTATCAACAATTTTATACAGATCCTGTTAATAATTAGCATGGGAACCTTACTTCCCAACATCGCTTTTCTGGAATGGATAGATGATTAGTACAGAGCTATCCAAATTCAATGAATGTTTGCGAGTTGGACGGATTTGTTCTCCTTTGAAATGCCAAGTTGTTACTGGTTGCGGTTTAGCTTAAAAATTCTCATATTTAAAAAAAATAAAGTAAAAATAAATTGATGTTTAGTAATTCACTCTTAAATGCTGAGATCAAATCTCATTATGACAAAAACGACGGAACTTGCTGATAAAAGTCTCAGCTCAGAAATAAATCCATAGGATGGTCCTTCCTGCAATAATCAAAATGGCAGGTTGATTAATTTCTAAGCATTTTAGAGAGCACTGTTTTTATGGTAACATAAACGAGACACTAATGTAACTACTTACAACCTTAGAACTTGAATATATAAAATGACCCACTTATGCAATTAGTTGATCAGTAAAGCTCTTAATGTAATTTCTAATATCAAAAACCCCAACAATTCTTATATGCTAATGTTATCATCGCTTTTCCATTATTAGAATACTTAACTATCAATACCAATATTACCATTAAAAATTCAACATCAAAGTTATATTTCCGCCTAAATGACAATGTCCTTTGGTTCAGGAATCCGCAATATGACTGATCCCAAGAAGGACTTATACTGATAAGTTACGATCTATGAGGTACGGTACCGGTAGATTCAATAAAACAAATTCGCCATGCATTTTTCTTCTGAAACCCGCTTTGCTTTTAACTTATAAAAATTTGTCGTTAACAAGTAGGAACTTCACTTTTCATACCTGTTGCTTCACAAGTAAGTCGAACAGCTGAACCTTCACGAAAGCTACTATTAGATGGAGCGGACAAAAAATGCGGCACATGTTCAAGACGATGCTGTTCATGATAGTTGCTGTAATACATTTATATAATATGTCGTGAGTTTAGGAAATCAGAGTTTAAAAATACAACCTTTCTGATGCTGTAGAACCAACAAATACGAGTAGGAAAATCAGTAACGTCATGGAAGTAGCACTTCGAATTCTGGAATGGATCAAATTTTATTCTTGAGAAATAAATTTGTTTCCATAATTAAACAATACACATTAATCTATGGGACAAAACTTTTGAATTGTTAAGCAACGAACGAAAAATTGCAGAAAATCCAAGAAGTGCCACTTTTCTTGATTTTTCAAACTCAGATAATTGATTCTCGGAATTAACAAAGTGACTAGGAATTTTTTCAATATCATTAAAACTATAATTTTGAACAGCGTTTAGCAATAAATCCTGTCCTTGTTTTTATTATGGTCAACAGCAGATAATCTTTTGAGCTAACTTTATCTAGGGCGCCATTGGCAATAAGTTGTTACAACATTTTCAACAATTATATTCAGAGTCGCAACAATTTTTAAACACAATTCAAGTGAATCTTCAAAGCACATGTGCATGACATTCATTTAATTTCAAAGAAAAACTGTGTAAAAAGTAGTGAGAACACATTGTGGCAGCATATCCAAACGTAAGTAGTGTAAAATAGTTCTGATAATTAATTACTGGGGGATTTTTTTACAGCGACAACAAAGTTGATAAGCAATTATTTGGGAGGAAGACTGACGCATCATGTTGGGGATGCATTTTGAAATGCTTCTGGAAAGAAATTTGGAACTAACAAAGTTTTGCACAACATTCCCTTCTATAAAATACTTTGTTTTTTTGCAAGTTGCGTTCAAATTCCAAATGCTTAATCTTAGATTTTCCAAATGTATCCGACTGGAAATTCTAATTTTAAATCAAACTGCTCCATTTTTAAACTCCAAAGTTATATTAGATGCATTTTTACAAAATGCGACTAATATATGTTAATCGGTTATTTTAAAATTAACTAAGGATTACAATTTTAAACAATTTTGAAGTTTGGAAATGCATATTTTGGGAAGAAAACCAGAGAAACATTGCCTTTTAAATAAATTTCAATTCAATGCAGTAGCGAAGTTAACAATATAAATAAAGACAACAAATGGATAGAATTAATGAGGATGAATTGATGAAACGAACCAGATGGTCCCTAAATTATTACAAATTTTGCTTACTGGTCCACTGCTGAGAACAGCAACACAGAGAATATTGAATGAAATGAAAGGTACAGGAAGGATATGAAGGATACGATGGTGCCTTTACTAATTAGCTAGTAAATAATCACCAGTCCTAAATACTTCTGAATATCTTAATATCCTTTAATTGGAAGCATCGAGTTTCCAATAACTGTCAATTACAAAAGCTCTACATACTAATATGGCCAGCATTATGATTATATCCATAACTGGATTAGATTTAGTTATAAATTACATCTATGGATCTAATTCATAACTATATCCACTCAATAACTGTTCAAAAAAAAAAAAAAGAATATAACTAGATGGGTGAACACATTCCTCCAATATCTCAGGAATTTCAGCAAGGTCTAGTATTCCCAGCACACGAAATTTTCTGCAGTGCGAACAAAAACTGGTTTTAACAAGCATGCCTCACATTTTATTTGTTGAGAGAGCATCCTATATTCGGTTCATAATCCCAAACATAATTAAACAGTTCAGCTTCCGGAAATTTTTCAACTAGTAAATTCACTCGGAAACATAATGCTTTATGAATGATTCAAAAGCTTTATACTAGTTTTTTCAGTTATTTTTTATTATGATAAACTTCGGAAAAAAGTTGAAAAATAAGTTTATAAAAGCGTACAAACAAACAGCGAAATTAATGGAGGAAAATTAAAATGTGTGCACTGGTTTTAAGTTTATCATAATTTCAGTGGTTATGAGTTTATCATAATTTTTTTAACAAATTGTGGTAAGTTCATAGAAACTGCGCTAATGTTTAGGACAGGTTCATTGCCCATCCATCAACATCACATTATTAACTTAACCTGTTCTTCTATAATATACTTTATTTTTAGTCAACAATTTATATATATACATATATTTAGGATAATATCATTCTTTATTCAAGTGAATCACTGAAACTTCACTGCTTATTTCCGAAGAGGTTCCAAAATTCAACATAATTTGAAAATGTTTAAAACAGTAACTACTTTTCTATTTAAAAGAGACATAAACAAGTTAACTAAGCTCTTGATAGCTCATAAGTCATATTTTACATTTATCAACTTGGCCGTTTAGTCAAAGTAACATTAAAAAATTCTGAATGCTTCCAAAAGATGCCTGAAACTCCAAGCTAATGAGTGTATTAATAGGTTGTTGAATTGTATAAACGGAACCAAAAGATGGATTATAATGGCAATCCAAGTCATTTCAGGGTGTTGAGTAGTTTTAATTTTCAGATTTCAGATACTGACACAGAATTCTCTACGTGTTTCAAGTTGGCTGGTTTAGTTATGAGCTTACTGCAACTTTTATAGACTAAGGAAATTTCTACCAGATATAAAAAACCAGCAATACTCCATCATTCAAACTAGTAAATCAAACAATACATAATGATAATTATATCCAAAGATATATTTTATCCGTTAATTAGATCTGAAATGTTTGATATAAAATTAACAACTTTTTAGTTATTGAATTAGTTTCTAGATTCTGTAATGGTTGGCACAATTTCAGATTGTAGCCTGCAGTTTTTAAACATAAAATATGAGCAATGGCGAAAGTAAGGGAAATTTCACATATTTAAAGTATTTGGAGGAAAGAAATTATAAGGTCGACAATGCTTGGTTGCAATGAATTGAGTTGAAAATGCCAAATCATTACTGCCAAGTGCTATGAATCTTTCACATCGACGTCATCCATCATCTTTTCTGTCATCATTAATCAATCATTGAAGAATTCCAAATGGTTTATTTGAAATCAGCAATTCCTAAGTACGAAGAAAGAAACAAAGATGAAACAAAGAGAAAAAGAAAAAAAAAACTGTGGTTTATTTAGCAGAGCGGAAGACTTTTCATTTTTCACTAATAATCGCTTTTTCGCTCTTTACTTTCACAATCTTTTGAAGTGAAAATTATTGACAAAAACTTACATCCGAATGTTTCTTATTTGATTGCTTTGTGTTTAGAAACAAAATCCAGTTTAATATAGTAATATTAGTGGGATCAGTGGTAAAGTTGTAAACAATCTGAAGCGTTCTTCGAAGTGTTTGTAAATACTGACACAAAATTTTCGATGAATTTGTACCAATACAAATTCTTCTAAAAGAATCTGTAAAATAAATCTAATTACTAGGGAATTAAATGAGGAATTCATTTGCTTTACTGAATTCTAACTAGTCCACAACTTTTGAACTTTTGAGATGCGAAGTGTAATTGTCTTTTAATGTTAAAAAAAGATTTTCGACTTACTTTAGTTAGATTCCTCTTATCACAGGGATATCCTGCGCAACAAATAAAAGAGAAACCGATGGAGTGCAGTTAGTTTGAAATAAATTATCTCGAAAAAGAAAACAATAGCAGAAATCACTCCAATCCTTATATATAACCTTAGATGGAGTCAAACTCGTAAGTATTGAATTTCACATTCTTCATCGCATGTCTTAGAAGCAAACTGAATAGTGAAATTAACTCAAACCATTGAGGCCCGAGAAAAACAAAGTGAGACTCAAAAGACTTTTGGAGATTCTATAAATTTTTAAAATGTGCAAATTATTCTGAAACAGAAATTGTGATATAAAGTGAATTAAAATTATGACCACAAAAGAAAGCAAAACTGATACTATAATAATTATTAAGGGAACTACGTGCAAGCAACCTCAACTGAACACTAATAGAGGCTCCTTGCGGAACGCAACGCACTTATCAGCAGCTCGACAATACTCTGCATACTGCTTAGGACCTGATACGGTTTCAAATGTAAAGTTGTATCAAGGATTCAAGCTTTGTAATTTCGCATACAAAAGTTCGCAACTCAAGGGTAATGATTCCACCGTATTTTGGTATGCAATCTTCAATAGAGAGAACTTCACGAATGTCATCTCAAGGTCTTTACTGGAGATTTGAATTCACATGCGAAAAACAAGGATCAGAATTTCCGAATTACGGACAGAGGGACAGCAATCGACAAGAGGATTAAAAAAGTATAAGCAGTTACGTACTACTTATTCTACAATTATCACTGTGGAAAGTAGTTGCGTTTCCATATCAGTAAACAAAACATCTTAGGAATTTTGCATTATAAATTCTTAAGTGATTCTAATAATTTATCAATTTTTGACGATTTGGAATACCAAAGAAGCGAAAACCAAACTTGTCTACATCCAATTTCAGCTACAATTCATACATTTTCTACTTACTTTTAAGGATATATTTCAAAAGCTGGAAGCTCCAGAACTAGGCCCATTAAATACCTTGACTCGACATACAAGTATCGTCAATATTGCTTTGTATATAAGCATAACGGCTACTACCGCAAAACAGATATTATTTAAAATATATTCTTTAAATCTGGATAAAAGAGAAGAATATTACACTGTAAATGCGCTACTCCTGCGGTCTGAGATTCGATATAAACAGAAACGTTAAAAACAAATATCACTTTAAACAAGCTATGAAAGAAGACAAATGTCTATGATACAGGAGATTCCATGTGATTACATTCCTGATGAAGTATATAACTAAAAAAGAAAAAACGACCAAGACAATCATCTCCAATAACATAACTTTTTCAAATGTAAACACCGGATAAGAATAATGAAAAGGTTATTCCATGATCATCCAAACAAGCACAGTTCTAATAGATTCATTAAATATACAGGAGTAAGAAACAGAAAATTGGTGACATTAAACAATCGAAAATGATAAAAGACACAAATGCTAGCAGATATAAATCATAATACATTCAGATAAACACAGATAATAAACGTATAAACTGTCAGATCAAAAATTTTCAGATATATAAATTTTTCAGATTTTCAGACAAATTACAGGTAATGGATTTGCATGAACAAGCAAGCACGTACTATGTATAGATGTAGAACTAACCCTAAGGTGCTGATGATAGCCATATAATACTTCACAGAGCAATTGATGGGGGCGAGTAGCAGAAAGCATGCCAGTAAACAAAACAATTTAACAACTGAGGAAGGAAATTTCACAATTCCCAAGGACGCTTCCCACAGCAGAAGCAAAAAAGTTTTTCAATAAACCATTCAATCTATCTATTTCCACTTATTAAAGGAATGTGTTGAATGAATATTGAAGACTTCATTAAGTTTCAACATTTGAAAGATTTCGGTCCACAATCATCCGCCATTTTCGCCATTTTCGCACGGTCCTTCCTGAAATAACGGGGCAATTCTGGTAATGCTAAGGAACAAAAGCAAATCCACCTTTATTCCGAATCTTTTAAATATATACAATGAACTTAATGAATAAGAGAACATAAAAGCTTACTCCTTCCACTTCCCAGACTTTCTCATGTCATCTTTCTTCCTTTTCCGAGAATTTCCATTTTCATTCTCTTCCATATCCTTTTCTTTCAAAACCTTGTCATATTCACCTGCTTCCACTTCCGCATTGTAATATTGCTTAAGACGCACATGCCAAGCAATTGAAGCGCAAGCACTTATAGTTCGAAACTGATGGATTATTTTCCGAGGTAGAAAGTAAGCATCATTATCATGCAACTAAAAAGCTGATGAAAATGCCTACAGTTATACAGCAATGAAAATAAATCATTAAATAATCTATAAATTTTCAAGGAAAAAAATACTCTCAATTACTCTAGTTACCTGTTCTTATCACCACCACTTACTATCTCAAAAATACGAGTGTTAGCAGACAGAAGTTTTCAACACTTGCGAACTAGAACATCAACTTACCAAAAAACGAGAATAACGAACTCCTTCTCTTCTTAATTGATTCAATTTTGCCTCTTCAACCCATTGTGCGCACTAAAAGTAAAAAAAAAAAAAAAATGCTTGCAAGAATTAAAACGAGTTAAAAAAAAGATGTTATTACAGACACAGGAAATGTGATTAAACCTGTGACATCGGAGGTTCATAAAGATCCAACTGTAACTCATCAACAATTCTTTCGAAGTCACTTGCATGAAAACAAACGACATCTTTTACCGCCCTTCTTCCTATTTTATTCCTATAAAAATACAGATCTTTACAATAGCGAAGCATTCAATTTGACTTTATGAAATTTTATAATATAATAAGATGGTCCTATATAAATGAAAAAATCTTCACCATTCACTTACTTCTTCTTTTCCGTTGGTCCATAGATTGACTGAAGCACGCCAACTGCAGCTGTTGTACGCCTTTCCAAACCATCACCTACATGATCAGCATGACACGGTGTCCGATCTTCAAAAAAGAATTCACGTGGCTCTCGGCACCTGAAAAATTAGTACTTTTGGTCAAAAATAACAACAAAAGTTTGGTACTGTTCTGAAAGATAAAGACATGAAAACTTTTTAAACCTGTAGGAAGGTACATGTTGTCGAACTGATGAGCTTCGTTTTCGAGTTCTCGATGACAAATCTTCCTTCATCTCATCAGTCCTTATCATCTAAAAGAACGATAAAAAACAGAAAATGCAAATCAATACGGAAATCACAGAATTACATAAAAAATGTAACAAATTTAACGGATTTATTCTCATCATGCACATTCAGACATTCAGTGAACATACCTGTTCACCTGGACGTACCCAAAAAATAGGTCCATCATCACTGTCAGAAGGACTTTCGAGATCTGCTCCAGACCATTCGCCCCAAGGCATTAGAAGCTTAAGCATTGGGAACATTTCTAACCATTCAATCAATTCCTTAAAAACATATATGATCTAAATTAAAGCCGTAAAAAATATCGGAGAAATAAATAACCCAAACATCAGTATAATATAATATAAAGCGAACTTTGAAATAATTGCCGCACTCTTCTTGTCTCGTTCCCACCAGACTCAACGAATGCAACGGACCATACCTAAAGAAAATTTCAAATCAGACTATACTATAATAAAGTGATATGATAATTTAGTAAAACGACAAACAGCCATACAGTCTATCCTCACCACAGCTCGTAGTTCTGGTATAGTTTAGAAATACGGCTCGCAGTCAAATTGGTAGTGGTTTGTTTCACCTGTATTTAAGTGCTAAATGCATAGCATTTTCTCCAAAAGATTTAAAGGTTCTGGAACATACGCCCAGTAGTGCTTCGACTATACTCAACAGCAGTTTTTCTCGTACCGTGATGTAACGATTGATGGGGTCTTTCCTACAAATTTCTCGCTAAGCATCACGAAGACTTCCGGATGGTTCCACTGACATTTCAAAAACAATTATCCAATTTCAAATTGTCATTAACTTACCTAAAAGTTCCATGATGACAAGTTTCCATAACATGACTATAATATTCCGAAACAGTTGTGGTGCTAACACACTGCTTACTGGTGAGTGATCCAATCTTTACTGGCATATGGGGGAATTTCTTTGCAAAATATTCCAAACCATTCTGTAATCAAACACCGTACGAAGTTTAATTTCACTAAAGAAATTCAAAAAGATACTACTGAAAATTTCAAATGTAATTCCTGCCTGAAGGTAATCAGCAGCGTTTTCAATAACAGCGATTACAAAAACGGGCGTGTTGTCAACTTCAGCCAAACCGAATGTTACAAACTCCAAGGTAAACTCGTCCAACTCGGAACCACTGAAATGGTCCTTAATTTTCGACCAATCTGCCTTAAGCATCGAAGCGCCACCATTTGGATGCGTCACAACATGAATATACTTTCGAAACTAAAATACATCTACAGCTTCAGGGAACAAGATTATTAAAAAAAAAAATCTATAATAAAATGCCAAGTAATGAAATGTGTTACAAAAGAGTTCTCGAAAAAATGACCTTCTCAGAAATCTTTGGCAGCTGGCCATAAGCTTTTTTATGCCGCGATACACTTTTATTGCCATGCAGTAGAGTTTTTGAACAACCAGTGACATCCGTCACTGGTGCCTGCTTGAATAAACCGCCTGTTGTAGAATCGATAAAACCACTTGTTGATGGAGAAGAATATTCACGTTCACTGAAACAGCTGAACAGAAATTATAAGCTCCTTATCTTTTTAAGGAAATCTGTAAGTCTTAAACAGTACGAGAATAGTTAGTGGTAGTACATCTACTTGTTATTGTCTCGCAAAATCTCTTTCAAATTAAATCAAATTTTTAACTAAAATATCCTGACAGAATATTCTGCTCAGTGCTTGCAATATAGAATGAGACATGCTGCCTCTCTTGTTCAAATGCTTTCGAAGTCCCCATACAGTTTCAAGGAAACCAAATCCCCTTAAGTTTCGAGTTATTACTCCAGAATGCTATTATTAACAACAGAGACAACTAAGAGGCGATCAGTTAGAAACAAGCAAGCATTACAAATAAATTCAATACATAAATTGGTATATTTATGGAGCAGCATACATTTGATAATCATAGTGAAGTACAAAACCCAAAACTATATTATATATCCCACGTTCACATATCACTTACTATGCAGTATCTTGACGTGAAGTTTTAGTACATGATGATGATATCGCATAAAAATTTTGCACCTTTTACATTTCAATAATGGTATCAAATAAAGACCAGGAAAGATTGACTTTCCAAAAACTTGAATTTTGTCGAATATGAATTTGAAGTAATTTTGTTGTATGACTTCGGAAGAAGATAGCGAGATTGATTTAAATCAAATACTTTGATTGATTTGAAAGCACAAACAAAGACGCGGAGCTCGCAATTATTTTATATTATAAATCTTCATTTTTTTTTTTCGTAGATTTTTTTTTCTTTTCATAGACAAGAAAAAAATTTTTCCTGTGCTCTCATGCACAAACATAAATTATTCCTCAAGAATTTAAAAAAAGTATTTCCATATATATTAGATTTCCAAAATAAATTAATCAATGCAAAACAATAGAAACAATTTAATTGAGGCTATTTGGGCATTTAAAATTCATTTAAAATGAAACTCTTGCAAAAAGGCGTATAAATAGTGAACAGAATATATAACGAAACTATGAAACAAAATATCAACAAACTAACCAAACACCAAATACTGGAGAAGCTGGTGGTCCAAGCTCAACAACTCCATCTTTATGATTGTCATTTGATGAGGTCACAGAGACTTCGAAGAACTGAGTCTGAAATGAAATTTACAATAAATTTGGTATTGAAAATCCAAATAATAGTTCAAGAAGATATAGCTGCAAAAATATTAATGAAAATGAAACATTATCCAGAGGAGCAGTGTTTCTTTCTGAATCAGTAGACGACGTCAATTCATTTCCATTCAAATCACCCTCTGGAACAACGACAACCTTTTTTACAACCATCTCCTCAATCTTTTGAATTTCTTCATATTCCCGACGTGGTTTTTCTTCTAAAAAAATTTGTGTAAATAATATTTATGAATCATAGCCCATGTGCTAATTTTATAAAAACATCTATAAAAGAAATAACATGCCGTCTTCCAAATTGGCAACAGCCAATCGTTCCGCAAGTATTTTATTATCAGCTACTTGTTTAATTCCCAAATCCAATTCAGTTTGTTGGATTTCATCAATTTTAGTAACAGTAATATTCGTCTTATTTTTATCTACTTTCGTTATTTTTCCATCATCCACAACTTTTATTAGCGAATCATTGTTACTATTTGAAAGTGTACTCCCCGATGCATCCTTATTCATTTTCCTATCGCTTTTCATCGATTCAAGAAAGTTATTAGTTGACTGTTTGATTTCCTGTGGATCACCAATAGAAGCTTTCAGATTCTTATTTTCCACACCATTCAACTCTTCACGCTTCATCTTTTCGGATGGTTTTAAAATTTCAATCATTTTCTCCTCTTTCGCCTTTTTATCACTTTCCTTTTTTCCAGCTCCAACTAATTTGAAAGTAGATCTCAGTCCACAATTTTCTGTGTCTGGGGCACCGCGGTCTTCTTTAACAACTGAGTCTCTGCGCAAAAATATTTTCCTTCTTTCGTTTTGTATGCGTACGGACTTTATTGACTTAGAAACTCGTGGTTTTGGGGACAAGTCAGCAAGATCAAGCAGTATCGGATCCAAAGCCATTGGTATGTCCCTTGGCTTGATGATGGGTGTCCCTAAAATTGATACGGTTAAAGTTATGCTCTTATAAAATTACACAAAATTTGACTTGATCTCAGCTAATATTTACAGAGCTTTAATCTAACTTCCTAACTTAAGATAGCAATAAGCTCTAAAGAATTCGATCATTATTTATGCTTCATCAACACACCTGGTTTCGAATCGCCTTTAACAGAACAAGCGTTACTGTCTTTCACGCAAAAACTCGACTGTGATACTAGTCGCACATCATTTGGTGGTGGTGGAGGTGGTGGCGGTGGAGGGACGGTAAGTATTTCAGGACCGAATATGCGTTCGCTAGAAAACTTCTGACTGAAATTCCTCATGAAAAAAAAAAAAAAAATGAAAAACCTCATATCCACAATAAGTTTAGAAGTTTAAGTAATGATTCAAAAAAAAAAGATTTTTTGAAAGATAGTCCTTATAAAATGATAGGTATTGATGTGAAAGGCAAGCAACCCTGCTTAAAGTAACTTATTTCAACTAGCAAAGTAAAACGCTTAGCGGCAACTTTTTTCTTTGACATTCTGGTAACAAGTACATTAAAAAATCTCGATAGGAATGTATACCGCAGCAAAAATATATATGAAGTATGGTTTAACATCCCGAATAATACTACTCTTAATTAATCAACATCTGACAAACCGAATGTTTCTTTAAAAAAAAATATCAAGAAAGTGACAAAAAAATTGTCGAATCATTAACTGGTCGATCTGATGCCACTATAACATTAAAACGGAACTTACTTCGGAACTGATGAACCAAAACTGAAAGAAGGGCAAACTCTAAAGCCAGAATCTCCTGACCAAGTAGGAGTTTGAAAAATTCCAGTTGTGTGGTTGCTCTTCTGTGTATTCATATATGGAGGCAGGGTGGTGGATGTTGAGGCCGGCTGCACCATTAGAAATGGCTGTACATGTATACCCGGTACAGAACCGAAATAAGGTATTTGTGAAATACCATTACTGCCTAGAATATGTGCACTCAGTGAATATTGAAGAAATTAATAATAACTAGAACCGCAAGTATTTTGAATTGTGATCACAGATTACCTTATAACATATTTCAGTAAATTTTTACATCCAATTTAACTCATAATTTTAAACTGATAAATAGAAATTCATAACACCACTCAGATGTGTTGATGTCCTGAGGTGAATTTTTGGGTTTGCGCTAACGTGACATCTTGTTGGTGATGGTAAATTAAAAGAACAATGTAAAATGAAAGAAACAGACCGTGATATCCCATAATATTTGTACCACCAGAATAGTTCGGTTTACACAAATTAACTGTAGGTAAGATAATTACTGGACTTCGATCTCTCGCTGTTGTTTGCTTCAGGACTGATTTTATGATTACTGGCTTTTCAGTGGTTACTGGTGACGGTGATCTAGACTGGGGTGACTTCGGAGGATATGGTGGAGTATGGGGACCACGTCTTACTTTTCTAAAAATATTTTAAAATATGCATTACCCTTCCTGTTATACTATTAAACTCCTTGATTATAACAGTCATATAAGATAAGATACAACTCACTAACCGCTCAGCCGAAACTGGATTAGTTGAAATATTTGTCACGCTACTTAGAAGACTGCGATCAGAATTTGCTTCAGAATAATCGCTTCCACTGATATTCAGTTGGTTTGCTGTCTTAATAAAATATGGTATTTAAAATACATTAAAACACATCGTAAACTGTTCGGTTGCAAAATTATCACACGAGAGATGTATACCTGATATTTTGGACCATTTTATTGATCGAGAAAAAATGCGAACTAACATCATTATTTGCCAACAAATGACTCTTATCAGGATTTGGAGGCGTAACCGGCCCACGCCGAACTTTCCCAATAACAAACGGAGGTTTAGGTGGTGGAGGACAATGATATAAAGCATCCGTTATGACTGAATGAGTCTGCTCACATACCTGAAATAAAATTCCTAGCACTACTAAAATAACTTACTACTCACTTATATGGAGAAAAGGAACGGGCCTTTTAGCTAGACAAGAGAATAAGTTCATTAACGATGAAGCATTTAAATTCATCGGCATGACTGAGAATAGATCTTGTCTTCTGCGACAGTCAGTTTAAATATCTTCAAATAACTAAGTCGAGTGATTCTTCAGTAAGTAACTAAGTACGAAGCGATAATAGCAAAAAACCTTAAGAGATTCCACTGCGGCTTCACATTTCACTTTACGTTCCATATTCATTAGCAAGTCCTTGAAGTGTTGATAAATCTCTTATTATGTAAACTATAGTGCACTAGAAGCAGCAATTTTTAAACACAAACAAAATACAAACGATGGACGGCAGGTGAAATGAACTGACACTTAGGTCCTACATCAGAAGGTAAAAACAAAGTACTTTTCAAGGTGTCCAGGAAATTCCTTAATTTCTACGACCTGGTTTTATTTTTAGTCATCTGCTTACTTTCACAGAGAGACCTGCCATAAGTAAAGGTCAAAATTATATTACTTATGGTAGTATTCCATGAAAGAATACCATTTGCTGTTTCCATGCAGTTACTTCATCAGACAAGGGTTTGATAAGCATACAAGTCAATATTAGCATCTATAATCACAACTACATGGGGTTATTTCAGCAGCGTATGATACTTTGAATCGTGCCATGTTCATGTTTTCTTTATTTTCTTTATTATTCCTTGTTCAAAAATTTACATGGCTTTGAAATATACTGCGTTAAGTTTTGAAATCTTTTTTTCTATACAAATTAAACTCCAATTTCTATTCCCAAATTCACCGAATCATAGAGCGAACTGTATTCGACTTCGAAATTCCCCTCTTTAAGTTACACATCCGACTACAAAACAGCGACAAATGTACCGCTCAGACAGCACAAAATAAAAGCCCCTTCCACACCCACAATTTTGCGGATTTTCCAAACCATGCGCCATTTGAGAAAATGCCAAAGGTTTTGACTGTATTGAGAACAATCGTTTCAGGATCTCATGAACACACAAGCTGCATTACTGTGAAACAGTGGGACTTTCATCTGGCAATTGTCGTAAAGGAGACACGAGCGTTCGTTGACAGACCGGGTTGTTGCTGGCGTACGCAACATAATATTATAATACAATATGAATTCCAACACGATTTAAATAATTGAAACTGAATCTCGACCCAAATCAGGCTATTAATCTTGCGATGAATGCCTGTGGTATACTTCAGCCGTCCGAAACAGTTTATTGCAATGCGGTCTCGCGGATGAAAAGTGGGCTTCATTAAATCTTGCAGATACGTTTTTAGGGCGAGGAAGACGTGGTTGGATAGGCGGAGTGGTCAGGGTTATAACGTTGAGGATTATAACATAACTTTAGGCAGTGCGATGTAAAATATGCAAATACTTGCTATTTATTTTTTGGACGTTACGCTTTAACTAGTTTGCCTGGAATTTCGGCCACAGCGTTAGCACTGTCTGGTGTATTTTTAGTGGGCTGTATCGATTAGTTCAACTTATTTTCTTTGTGTAGCAGAAACAGTATCGTTGTGATAATGGGTGAGCCAGTGGCGAAGCGCTGCAAGACGGATAACGAAACAAATGGTGATAGCTCGAAGGTGGTTTGAAACTTGGTCTTGTTTTGTAGTTTTTAAATATGTACATAATTAGGCTCCTACTGTAATACATGGAGACTTGTTTGAGTCGTTTCTTTATTAGCTGCTCGTTGAAAATAAGAATATGAAAGGCTTAAGGGTATATTCTGGTAGATATTTTATAAAAATCCATTGGAATTGTGAATATAGTTGGTCTGTGGGAAAATTAATACAGTCATTTTTGTTTCGGGGCAAAAAGTTGTTGGTTCGACCAGAATGTTATGGTTTTTCTTACAATACTGCATATATGTAGGTCGCATCCTTAAAAAAAAATTCCGTTTCCTTGAACTGTTAGTTTTCTGGGGTCATTCCGAAATTTTATAAAACTATTGGGTTTTTAACTGAGACACAACTGAAACAAATAGATGTACTGGAGCAGATAGTTTACTGTGCTTTACTGACATGACGCTAGAACATTATGAAGTGTGCGATTTCTTATGGAATTGCAATGATCACTTAATAGCACCGTTTCAGTCTTTGTTTTTTCATTCTCTGTGCCACTGAGTCACTTTCTATCATCCAGCAAATTTTCCTGTGGCACAGCTCTTATCAGTTCTTTTTTTTTTCCCTTTGTTCAAAACAGTTTCAGTCATGTACTGTGATCCGCTGTATTTGCTTTTGCTTATGTTTCCAGGTGGGTGATTACGATGCTGCTACGCAAAAAATTCTGGAACAAATTGATCAAGTGCAGAGTGAAATAGATTCCTTGAATGAGAAGGCAAGCGAAGAAATATTGAAGGCTAGTTTTCGTAATGTTTGTTTTAGAGCTCCACCTTTATCGAAGTTTCTTGCAAGTTTTAAGGCTTGATAAATCAAATGTACAGCAGATCTGATGTGATGCTTCTGCAAGATAGTCTGCGTCTTCCGGAAGAAGTTTTAGGCAGACTTCAAAGTTGTTTTTTATCGTTTTGATGACATACTATAATGTTTTGAGCTTTCGCTTTTGGTCAAAGTGATAACTTGTTGGCAGAGTTATATCTTAGCGTTTCTGTACTGTCCGGTCATTATCTTAATAGGTTTTCCGTTATGATTTAATTGCGTTATGATCTAGTTTTTTGAAATCTTGTGGGAAAAAGTTAGAAGCACTTTTTTAAAGGTTGAACAAAAATATAATTCTCTTCGAAAGCCGTTTTTCGACAAGCGCAATGATCTTGTTCGAGACATTCCAAATTTCTGGGTCACCGCAGTAAGTTTTGATTAAAGTTCTAATTATATGGCATTAATTGCTATATTGCGAGACGTAAATAGTGATGAGCTGGGAAACTGGAATGGAAATTTTATAATGTATTCTCTCCCAAAACACAAAAAGTTCGAAATTTTTAGCACTGTAAGAACGAAGCATAGGTGTTTTTTAACTTCTCTTACAAAGTTAGGTTTTAAGGTTGTGAATTCAAATTATTTTGAACTGAATAGAGAAAAACTTGTCCAGCTGTTCAATTAGCGTAATTTAGGGAGAGATCGTTACAAGATCATTACAGTTATATGTAATTCAGTGAAGTGCATAATTCACTTCCTATTTATCAGTTTCTTAAGTACTATGCGAAAAGAAGCAGTCGAATCCGTTAAAACTTTTTTTAGTTTGTCAACCATCCAAATATCAGTGCGATATTGGACGAAGAAGAAGAAGAATGTTTACATTATCTTACCACAGTTGAGGTTTGTCTTTCCATAATTTCTGTGACTGTCACTTTTTTGATTTTATACGACATATTCTGTCTATCATTAAAGTTGAAAGTTTCTGTTTCTGTCGAAACTTTAAATGTTATCCTGAAATATGTCATACCTTATTCAACACTTGTTAGAAATTTCTAGATATATAAGATATATATTGCCATGCATAAATGACTTCAAAAATAAAATCTCAATAGTTACGAGCTGGGCGGTATAGAGGTAGTTAGTATGTGCATTATTTCGGTAACCTACCCAGTACTCCTATTAAATTATACTGATTTGCAGAATTGATTGTTTTAGGTGGAAGAATTTGATGATATCAAGTCTGGATATAGGATTAAATTGACATTTGATGAGAATCCGTTTTTTGAAAATACTCAGCTTGTCAAGGAATTTTTTCTCGGTGATTTTGAACCGACAAGTACTACGACTGTCATCAAATGGAAGCCGGATAATGATCTCTTAAATAAAGTATTATTTCCTTAAATATCATCTCTTCCAAATATGTTTCCATCTTTCAGAGCTTTTGCATTCAATTACAGTTGCAGTTTAATTTACTTAAAGGTGAAAACCAAGAACCAGAGTAGTGGTGATGCAACGCCAGCGCCACGTTCATTTTTTGCTTGGCTATCAGATAATCAGGATCCAAGTAACGACGAGATTGCAGAAGTAGGCTTCAGTAGTTTAATTCTGAAGACTCACCCCTGTTTCCATATATTGTTTTTTATCAATAGTTTAATTCTAAGGACACACCCCATGTTTCCGTATATTGTTTTTTATCGTATAGTTCTACTCAGAATACTTTATACTTCATATATGAAAACTTTACTCTTTTGTGCTAATTGTGCTAACTCTATGTATTAAGCTTTCTGTTGTAGTTAATCAAAGACGATCTTTGGCCGAATCCGCTGCAGTACTTTTTGGTGCCAGAAATGGATGAAAATGCTGGAGTTTCCGGTGACGACGACAATTTTGATGATATTTTCGAGGAAGCCGATGATGCTGGAGAAGATAATGAGGACTGATTAAAAGTAATTAGTTTCGGGTAGGCCAGATGCTGATTTTTCTGGTTTTTGCTGCCATTGCAGTAACATTAAGAAATGGTTTTTCGTTGATATTTAGTTTTTTAAAACAAGTTCTTTGCTGTTGTATGAAACAATTTGCCATTGCAGAACCCTGTTGGGAAAGCTGTTTGTGTGCACACTGATAAATTCTAGCGATTTTATTGGTCGATATTTTCTTTGCCAGTAATTAGTGGTAAACCGTATTTAGGTAGGAGTAGCGCACTAGGTTTCCGAATTTTTTCATGAAATGGTAGTTGGATTTCTTATCTGGGTTTTGGGTGTTGTATCTAATTGGTTCATCCAATAGATATATTTTGGCTTTGCTCTTTTTCCTCCCATCCTTATTGTTTAAGTAATGCGCTACTGCTAGTTTTATAGATCTAATCCTATTTGTTAAGAGTATGATAGTATCAATGTGCTATATTCAATAAACAGAATCAATGTGTGCATGTAAGCGTGCTTTGTGATGTGCGCATATATGTATGTGGGTAAACGTGTATGTATGTGTGTATGTGTGTGTGTGTGTGTGTGTGTTCTCGCATTTAAATATTTTGATAAAGTTTCCTTCCTATTTTTGTACGCACTTTTCTATTCAGATCATATGTTGTCATTTTGTCACTTTTCATTTGCTAAGTTAACAGTAACTGATTATGTATTTGTCATTTTGCGCTCGCATCTCAGACATTAGTTTTAATGCAGCATTTCAGATTTTAGAATTTTCTGATAAAGAGTACCGTGCACAAGCTCACAAGTTTAGCTTTTAACCCAGGTCCTCCTATTAGCTACGTGTACAAAAAAGACATTAACGAAAATTTTCAAACAGTGTCTGAGAAAGCGTGACGCTTGTAAGTGTCGTTATTGGATAAAACTCTGTTTATCTAGTGTGGACTAATTGTATTCATTCGTCGGCTACTGTAGTGTTTAACAAATTCATTATTCAAAATTTCGGTTTTTCTAGGCTAAACTTCTGTAATATTCAATGGGAGCCTTTCTTTGGACAGCATATATATATATATATATATATATTATAAAACTCAAGATTACGGTGATACTGAGTTGGGTTCATGAATTGAATCCCGAGTTCCGTTATCCGAAATGTATTCAGTTGGTATAAATAAAGAATAAACTATTGCTAAGTACAGTTTTATATAATCTCAATATATGTTAAGTGGGTCTATAATGTTTTGTAACTTCCTACTTCGTTTTTCAACGAATAATGTGTTTTAAATTTCTTGAAGAAAGTAACACCAGACTGTTGTACATTTTTGTTTGCTAAATCTATCAGCATTTTTTGTCCTTTCGATGTCGCTATTACCAAGCACTGCTTTTTCTTGGGCGCTTGGGGAATTGTTCTCATTCTCGAACATTTTTTATTTAATGTGTGGAATGTTGTTGCTGTTCACATGTTTTAGCCAGAAATAAGACAATTTTAAAGTCCTATTTACAAACTCTTGCATATAAGGAGAAAAAGCATCCCACGCTTGAGATAAATTTGTTCATCGTTGATTCGTTTTTGCTGCTCGATGTCCATATTTTTCTATGAAATAATGAAATAAGGTAGGTTTTTGAATTGTAAACACACGGATTGTACCTCTCTTTTGTACTGTAAGGTTATGGTGTCGAAAAATATATTACACGTTTTTGCTATGACACATTATTTTTTAAAGAGTTACATTTTAGAAAAGCAGGGTTACCCTATATGTTGCTGTTTTTGGTAAAGAATCTATAAATCATTGGTTGAATTTTTATAAGAGGTTGTGAATGCAAGCACGTAGTGGGTTTTTCGGAGCAGAAAGCGCTTACTGTTGAGGGTGATAAGTTGCTAATGGGGAAGGAGGGACGAGGGGTTTATAGAACGTGTAACTTGGATACAGGGATATATCGTTACAATGTGGAATTGTATCATATAAGCAGTCATCCAATACTCATTTTTCTGTTGTAGCTGAGTATGGGATTTTCAACTGTTAACAAAGTGCATAATATATTGTTTAATTTGATAAAAATTAATAGTGATTCCTGGAGGAATTGACAATGTTAAAATCCAACCCTTACTACATGAAGAGAAAAGATCATCTGATAGCTAGCTCTTACCTCAATGTAATCATGCGCTTGTTGCAAGTGAGTGCTAACTGCATATGGAATTAACTTGTCTAGATAGTTTTTTTGTACCAACACGTTATAGTTCGACTGCTCTCCCGCGCTCATTTAATTCAGTTCATTTAAATCCCTTAAGTTCCCCATCAATTCATTCATTTTCTTCAGTTCATTTGTAGATACTCTAGGAATTATCACCGTATTGTTGCTATAGATTAATACTTGTGTATCGTGGCTGCAAAAGCATTACAATAGGCTTTTCATTCAACGCATTCGTCTATATCAATTACAGCAAGAAACAAAGGCTCTTGAACATAAGAAAGCTCAGTTCAACTCTACAGAGTCAGATACCCCAGGTTTCACGATATAGACGCTACAATTCGAGTCCTTTTTCATTTAAATGTTTTTAAGTAGTTTGAATATAAACATAACTAAAGTCAGTGTAGAAATTGAAAAAGGACTAAGGTTTTCCTAGTATTCCACATAATTTTCATATTCAGGACGTTATGAGAGCATATTTCTCAACCTAATGTTTTCAGCTGAGATTGGAGCGAATTATCGAAATGTTTTAAATATTAATGGATTACGTGCTTTTTGGCCTTGCAAGACGTAATCATGTGGTTTGAAATCGTGGAAATATGTCGCTCATTTTAAAAGCTTGGGTAGAGAAGTACGGGAAGTGGGATCTGGTGACAGGGAGGTTTTTTTTTATTTTAGGGAACCGCTTAGCGGCTTTCATATCAACTTACCAGTTTATTGCTTAGTGGACGAAAGTTTCAAACTAAAATTTTATTAACTGAGGAAAAATGCCGATAACAACCAATAGCTAAGTCTTTTAAGAACTATGAAATTTAATTCTTAAAGAAATAAATTCCAGAAATGAACTTCCGAAAATTCGAAGCCTATTCACATTTCTCGGAAAAACAGAATGGCAGTTGTTTAAAAAATAGGAACTTCAGCAAAGAACTAGGACGTCATTAACAATTAATAAGTTGAATTTTAAATAAACCATCTATTTTCATAGCGACCATCAAAAGGAAAAAATATCAAAATAAAGAAAGTAGACGAATTCGAGATTTCTACTAGTACCAACATAAGTAATTGGTATGAAAATAGCATTACGATTTCCTAACAAAGCAATTCTAAGAGAATAATGTACACCCATCAAAATATTGTGCTGCCCACTGTTAGTGCTGCGATATTGACAGCCTTCAATCTCATTCTTTGTTACAATTATTCCACGTGCGTTTGCTGGTCATTTTGAACGTATTCGTGAAGGATCTAAGGTAAGGAGTACTGTTAAAATTATGAATAATCATTAGAACGAAGGAAGGTCATATCTAAAACTTACGATGCAAATCGACTGCAACCATAATATAAAAAACCGGGTTTCAAAACCATATAAACTTACTTTTACTATTTCTTCTAAATCCAGTACCTCCTTATGCTCCCTTTCATACCGTCCCTCAGCTTCTTCTAACTGCTTTTTAAGTGCCTGGAACATCAAGAATACTGGATATTATGCAAATACAAAATCTGTTACCGTTTTTATAGCACGTATTCGCTAAATGAATTGATGAAATTACTTATACCGAATTTCACATTTAAAAATAAAAGTAGATAACAATATAAAAATACCTCAATGAGTTCCTCTTTCTCATGCAGCGAAGAAACCAAAGTTTGTTCATTAATTACACTTGATCCAAGACTACTAAAATCATCTGAAACTTCAAAGCAACAACTCTTGCATAGATACTTCTATACAAATACAAGGAGGTACTGCATTTTGAAGCATAGTGAAAGTAAATAGGGAACAAATGATCACAAAACTGAACAATAAAATACGCACCGCTACTCTGAAGCTGTACAATTGTGGTCTGCAAAACTTTGATAATGTCTTCGCGCTCAATTTTGCTGGCAACCTCCTCGTCTACTTTTATCCTAAAATTTATTAGAAATTCCTAACAAGCCTGCTAAAGCGCTGTAACCCGAAATGCTAAAAAAAAAAAAGATAACTTGCCTGCATTCATTAAGAACGCGCTGAGTTTCTTCCAATTCCGCATTAAGCTGAACTTTCTGTGCAACTTCTTCATCCAGTCTGCGACGCAACATTTCAATTTAAATAAGATTATTATTATAATTTTCGGAAAATATACAGACGAGAAAAAGCTAGGAATGAAACGGAACAGACAAAAAACTTATCTGTTCATTCTTTTTTTCACACGCTTTACGTAACAACTCATTTTCCTGCTTAGCTGATTGCTGCGCTGCTTGATAGTCAGCTCGAATTGACTCAACTGTATTGATTGGGTCTTCTGTAAAATCGTCTTTTAAATTTTTTATTTAGCAGAGGCATCCGCTATAAGAAAAGTTTTTCTGCAATTCTCAACTTGGATATCCCATTGAGATTTGGAAGTGCACCTACTGGACAGTTTAAAATAATGAGGTACTGATCAAAAGCTATGAGAAAGAAAAAGTGTTTTTGTCCAGTTAAGCAGTTCGAAGTATATCTTATCAGAAAGACTTTAAAAAACTTTTTAACACTAGTTTTATAAGGCTTTTAATACTATCTTCTGTGCACTGCACTCAATTGACTATATATAGGGATGGTAATTAAGGCATTATAAAAACCCATCAATTTCGGATTTCAAAGAACAGTTTAGCATTTCTGTAAAACTACCGTGGAGATGCAACGGAAGATTTGTACGATCAATTAATGATGATTTAACAACATTCTCCATGAAAATATCAGTGTTCCGATCAATGTCATCGCTTGACATCAAATTCAAACTGTTATTCGCTAGTGGTGTGCTTTCATCAACCTCTTTATTGGCTACAACAGCTGCACTAGTACAGTTTTCGGCAATAGTGTCATTACGGTTACCAATCTCTATATCATACAGAGGTATGCCTGAACCAGTTTCCAGTGATACCGAACGAAGTGTATCACTCAAACTACCGATTACCTGAAATTGATAATTTTGGAATTTGCAAAGGAAGTTCAGAAATGCATAAATTAGCGAGAAAATCACATCATAATGAATTGCGCTATCAAACTATGTAACAGTGTATACACGGTTTTAGGGAAATTAATCATTGAACAAAAATGAGTTTGAATATTTCTGATACCTTTCGTGATTTGGAAGTAATAATGTTAGGACATGTCGAAACAAAGAGTCAACCATTCCATGATAGAAACCTTCACAAAAGTTGTGAACAAATCCAAAATACAAAATCTGGTGCGGTAGTTAGAAATGAATTAACAAATACCCAATTAATATATAGATGAAATGGTGATACCTGCCATATAAAATACTCATGTAATATTTAATGCAAGTTCAGTTTGACATGGAAACACAAAACACGATATCACAAACCCGTTGATACAAAACAGAATACCAGGTCCCAATAATGCGAATTTATTTTAGAAAGTTTGATTCTTATTATCTTAATGTCATGTAGTGACAATGTATGAGATCTCAAAAGCTTCATGCAGTCCAAAAAGACGTTGTAGTGCTCAGTGGAATTTTTCAAAAGCTGTCCTAAAGCACTAAAATTTCAAAGCGTATATGCAACTATAAGGTCAAAAAAAAAAGTGAATTTGGGACGCATCTCAAAATTATACATTTTGATGCTCGACCTCGAAATATTTCAAGTCATGAAATGATTGACATAATGTCTCAATATCGTGATGTAGCGTAAATTTTTATGGTGGAAATGAAACCATACGTTTAAGAAATCAAACCTCAAAATCATCATCAACCAGGGAACTGATATCGTAGCTTGTAATACCACTCTGTGCGTTAAGGTCAAGATGTCTCTGACATATATGATTGGCGTTCATCCTATTCTACGTTACCTGAAACACTTCCATTTAATTTTAGGATTATCATCATAATGCAGCATTAATTTTACATGAGATACAGAATAAGAACGGAAACATCCATGTAAAACAGATAAAGCAAGCAAACAGACAAAAAATTACTTAGAATTAAGAAAATTCTGCTCTAATTGAGCGATATTATTGCTACACGATTTCTTCAAATGATGTCACCTTAACTAAATATTCCTGATTCATGAAGAGAATTCAAAAAAGTCCGAAATGTAATATGGAATTGATTAACTAAAGGAAAACAATGTCTTTAATAACTACGGATCTTCATGATCTAAAGAATGCCTTCTCCAGCGTCAATGTTATAAATTAGCACGAAACCATGTTCAGTGCAGTGCAACTAACTCCCAAAATGCAAACGAGCGTAACACAGTTCACAGAAATTATCCTTTCTCAGTAAATCACACTCATATGGCTTGTATGCATGCATACGAGTCGCTTTTGTATGAATTAACGTTTGATGCGAGTAAAACATTAATGAGTCATTTAAGACTTGTATAATTAGTGGCCGTCTCCAACACTACTACTCAGCTTATATTTCCATTCACATCAGTACCGTTGTGCTCATTTTAATTGCATTGCACTAATCGCACTTAATTAGGGCTATTGAAAATAAGTCGAGATTCTTGACAATCGTCTTACTAGAACTTCCAGACGCACTAGAGCTTGGTTAATTTAATCTTAGTCTATCATTCTTCCTCTCCTCTTCCATCTCTATCCACTACTCTGGAACACTGAAAAACTGTACTAGTCACAGTGTTCATCTTCAAACTTTAGGAATGCTGTTTCAGAACATCACAAGAAAGGTTAAATTCAGTAGCAAACAAAAGCAGGAAGTATCTAAAATTCTCAAATCATCGCCCTTTCATGGCAAACTAGCCCAAGCAATCATAAGCTCAGCTGTATGACTCCAGCACGTAACTAATAAAAACTATCTGAGGTTGTCAATGACCATGATATCCCGATAATAAGGTTGCTGAAGATTGAAAACAGCATTGGACAAAAACCTAACTTCAGTATTTCTAAAAACTCGCTACTTTACTGATCTTCACCGAAACTGATTCTGGGAAGTATAATTCATTTAAACCTTTGCATTCAAACATTTTTTTCTCGTACAGCACAAGGACGGATATCTTTTACCAATATTAAAATATATTGATTAATAACGAGTGCATTTCTCGAATCAAAATTTGCACAAAGGGGATTCACAACTCAATGCACACTCAGATGTATGAAATCCTAACATTTTGTAATATCCATCATTAACTAAGCATCCGTTACATTACTTGAACATGTAGTTAATTAACTGCTATAATCAGAAAGTTAAAACATAAAATAACAAGATGATACCACAAATAGCCGGTAGAAATATAAATAAAAAAACATAAACCTACGATACAGCAAGGAATGAAGAATGAAGAATGAAGTACTGAAAGGCAATTATGACATTGGTAACAATTCTTACAAAAAAACGAAAATTTTCATAAAAGGCATTTCCAGAATTCCGGATTTTGTTGTAAACGTCGGGAAAAGTTGGTGTACCAGTTCTGCACCGCAGAAGCTGGGATAAAATCTGTGGATTCCCCAGGATTTGCTGGCCGAGGTAAACGAACAGCAAATGATTGCAGATGGTTAATAAAATTTTGCAACATCTTCTCTGTGAACTCCATGAATGATGACTGCAAATCCAAAAAAAAAAAAAGTTACATGGCAATGAATGGAATAACATTAAACATCAGGCCATTAAATCTGTCCTATTGATCAGACTAACAGTATCCCAAACCACTTACTTTTTAACAATTATTTATTAGCCAAAATGCATCAGTGTTTCCTTGGTCTGCTGATTATTTTGCCATTATTGTGTTTGCATATATATATCTCAACATAGTTTAACCAAGTCTAGCAGCATTCACTCCCACATTCTGTTGTCTATTTCCCAAGGTCATAAATACCTGCTGACTACTTGTTGCTCCTTCAGTAGGAAGTTTACTTGCAATAAGTGCAAGCGGTTCTACACTGATACCAATCTGAGCATTGCCAGCTGCATTTCCATTCTTCGGCAAGTTCGATATGAATAGACCACCATGTACAGCATTCATTTTATGAAGCTAAAACTGGAGAAAGCATGCTAAAAGAAATTTCTAAGGATATCTAGTTTCCTAGTACTGGTCTCCATGTATAGCTTCTAAACACCTCAAACACAACCATGCAAGTTACTATCTATGGACAAGTTTATTTCTCTCAAGAAACCTTTCATAAACTATATCGCATAAAGTATCTGTGAACACCTCCTAAGAATATGAACTTATACTTGAGCAACTCGAAATATAGCACTCGGCTTATCATTTGCAATGTATCCGAGGTAATGCCAGTTCGTTTCCGTTCCGATTTTCGGCCACCGAATATAAACTAAATATTATGGTCAAGCAATTAGGAAATATAGATGTGGGACCTTCTCTCTCTGGATGAAATTTGAAGCGACTTTTTTCTATGCCACGATGTTATTTTAATGCAAAGCAAAGTACAACCTGACATAAGATTAACTAAGACCACCAGCTCAATATAAGGAATTTAATAACTATAAAATTTACCGCGACAAATGTGACCACATACCGGTGCCGCCAGTATCTGCAGGAAATGGTGCAACGCCTGTCAAGAACACCACAACATGATTCACTGAACCAGAATCAGCTACCTCAATAACAAATTCCGTTCTGCTCATTTGAACAAAATCTGTTTGGATCTAGAAATTTGACACATAACAAAACTCTAAATTCCCCGTTTTGAACAATACCCAGAAAATGAAAAGGTAACTCCGGTAATACGGGTAATTTAGGCATTATGGTTTTAAGCAAACATCATTCGACAATCTTTGAGAAAACCACACACCTCAGCAATTAGTAATCTAGCTAAATCAGTACTACAACTACTTTCCCACTGGTAAGTGATGTAAGGCATGTGGAACGCGGGCAACTCCATTACTGTTGAAAAGATGCATATATCTTACCGGGCGACCAGCCACAATCACTCCGAACACTTTTAGCTGTTGATTGTCCATTTCACAAAGAATAAGCTAAGATAGTACTACCATGACAACTTGATCGCCATTACCTAAAGAAAGGTAGAAATGAGTCCGCACGAGACCCTCCAACCGTAACCATGAAAATGTCTCAGGACCAACTGGAATTTGGGGAACTGTGCAAGTACTTATGGCAAATCTTGCAAATGTCCACTCACCTATCCCTCATCGCTGTGTTCTAAGTCTAAATGATACACCTTTGTTGTTAAACGCTACAATCTTAAGCTCCCGTTGAATAGGTTCCGGATGATCTAATCACATGTTGTGTCCCTTTTAATTTATTTTGTCTCATCATGACTGGACAGTTTTAAATTTCAAGTTTCAGTTGATAGATTTGCAAAAGAAACATTGCGATCTCAAATTTAACTGTTAACAGTCACAAAAAGGTTGCAAAAGGAAGTATTAACTTTTATCCAGGGTTTTAACTCACCAAAGAAAGAATATCGTCTAAAAAATGAAACTTTGTTATTGCATGAATTACAACCATTTCTTGCTTGTCAGTTATATTTTTGTTCTCACTGTCAAGGGCTAAATTTTGTTGCCTGCATTGACATTAAAATGATACTTTTCCTAAAATAAAAGGGACTCTCACATCTTCCTTTTTTCTTTATCAGCTCTGATTTATTTATTAGTGAAGTGAATCAATTTTATTAATAAGCATATTTGCTGGTTATCCAATTTTGTGAAGAAAAGATTAGAAAGCACATCAGTCTTTAAGAATGAAAGTGTTTGGTAGCCATGTGTTATATAAAATTCTTATTTAAGAAAGTGCCAGATGCTATTTTTACCTGATACTCTCTGTCGTCTAATCGACAATCGTTACTCATTCAAAGTAATTTCACATTAGTGTAACAATAACAAGTTGAAGGAGAATTGCTTTGAATGGTTATTTCCGGTAAGAATGAAGTTTATGACTCGAAGAGAATATTTTGAATAAATTTCTCGAAGCAATAAGGATATGGAAACGGACAAAAATGCATGGCTATTATTACATTTATATGTTCATAAATTGTTTAAATAATCAGTTGAACTCTCCAAATATAATAATGACGCGCTGAGAATTTGTCTTCCCTGTCAAACAATATAGTTTTTTATTTGACGTATGTTAGCAGATTGAAAGGAAGGAAAAGGGAAAGTCTTGCTGACAATAGCAGGATAAAATATAGTTCGTCAACTATTTTTCAAAAGAAAAATAATGAATACTTAACACTACACCACTATTTACCACTTGGTTTCAAAAGAAACCTTTCAGTAATATGTTAATTTCATGAAGTAGCAGTTGGTACTTTTTAATTTTATCACTTTGCACCAAATGGTAAGTTTCTGCTGTGGAAATAAACAATTTAACATTCTAGAATTAATAAATTTAAGTAAGTGTCGTACACGGGTTGAGTGTTATTTTCTAACTGATGTCCATTTTTCTTAGAAACTATGTATTTGTTTTCTATTATAGCTACTCTTAATGTTTTGAGATTAGTTATTTTTTTCCAAAATATTTTGAAGAACTGTTGACAGCCTTTGCGTTTTCCTCTGCTACTTTAGAAGAGAATAATGAATAATATAATATTCCATATTAATTACTTTACTATTTTCACTTGTTAGCGTTGTTATCCACTTCCCAAGAATGAAGCTCTTTTTTCACCTATTATTGGATATAAATTTTCTGTCATAGAATCCATTTACATCAATAAAGAGCTGCTTTGTCATGCATTTTTTTTCTTCACAAGATTTAGAAGTGATTGAGATAAGCTGTTGAAATAATCATAGGGAGCATTGTAACTATCGATTATCTGCTTTCTGATGATTTTGAGGATTGTTGTTAACTCGCATGAAAATATTAATAATGTCTTATTGGGCATTTGATTTTTTCTCAGTAAGTTGGTAAACTTCCCCCAGCGATCGCTGCAAATTTTAAATGAGCATGAAACTTATCAAAGAGATCAGAAGAATTCATTATACAGCTGAAAATGCATATAATATTTCTGCTTGATTTGATATCAGAAGCACGACCTTAGAACAAAACTAGCAAGAATTTCTGTGTTTTATTGTGCTCAGCCTGACAAGAAGTTGTCATTGTTGAGTATTCCTGAATTTGAGACATGGTGAGAGCACTTCGTAACATACAACTTGCAAATTCAAACTTCAGCCTAAAACTATCCGTAAAGTGAGGTTTTACCTAAAATTCAACAGGTAGAAAAGAATGCCGAGACTGATGAATGCAAAAACATAGAACTGTAAATTATATTACTACATCTTAGCACTAACCACATAATTGTTCACCTTCCATTCTGAATGAAAGTAGTACTTATATATCTGAGGTAGAGTTTTTGGAACTAGGAAATCCAAACGAATAGAGGATTCTTTTTCGTAGAGCAGATACCTAAGCAAATCCAAAATTCCATATCACGCTTCGGTCTTTCTCTGCAGCATTTCGACACACCAATGAACCGACAGATGATACCACATTTATATTGTCCGTAATGATCCGATAAGACAGTCATTACTAGTTATTGTCCCCATTAACTATTATCCTCATTTTACCATGTTTCTTTTCTTAATTACGCCATACAAATTTTATAGAATTCTTTATTGAATTCTAAACATTCTTTGAACAAAAAAATTTTGAAAATATGATGTAACTGACAATAGTGTAATTACTCATCTTTTACAGCTGATTTAATTGTAGACTTCTTGAAAGTTATTTAAAAATTTTCATCACTGAGTGAAACGACTGATGAATACAGCAGAACGTGGTGGACATGGACAATATGCTGCATCATTTCCTGGAAGGCCGGGTCCACCAGGTAATCCAGGTTTGCCTTCTTCACCGGCATATCCATCTTTTCCTGGTGGGCCGGCTGGTCCTGCAGGACCTGGTTGTCCGTCTGCTCCTTTTTCGCCATCCAAACCAGGAGGGCCAGGTGGTCCTGGTGGTCCGGGTGGTCCTTGAGGTCCTGGTGCACCTTTTCCTTTCTCTCCGTCTTTTCCAGGTGGTCCTGCTTCACCAGGCGGTCCCACTGATCCTGGTTTGCCTGCATCACCGATTGGCCCTGGTTGTCCAGCTTTACCTTCGTTTCCTGCTGGTCCTGGCAATCCTGGTGAACCATCGGGTCCTGCCGGTCCTGGCTCACCATTCACTCCTGGTGGTCCAGCTGGGCCTGCTTCACATTTAATACAAGTGGTATCAGCAGGAGGACATTCCATTGGTGGGTATGTTACTGTGTTATCTTCTCCAGGAGGACCAGGTAGTCCAGGTGCTGCAAGTGATCCAGATGGATGTCAAATTGTATAAATAGAATTTATGAATATATAAATGGAAGAATGGACCGTCAATGTCCAAGTGGAAGACCTTGTGTATAAGCAAAATCCTAAATGAGAAAAATAGTTTATAAATTTAAAGAAACATAAAAACTTACGTCCATCCTTTCCTGGTTCACCAACTGGACCTGCTGGTCCAGGAGGACAACTAATCTTGATCGGTTCACAATGGCAATAATCCGGCAAACCGGAAAAGTCCTGTCTTTTCTTACGGAAAATGCTTTTGAAGGGGTTTTCACGTGCTTTACTAGGTGGTGTCACGCTAATTTGCACGTCCATCAGTTCAGTCCATGCTGAATCGGTCTCGATGCGAAAAACTTGCACACCATCTATTACCGCATCATGTACCTGTCAAAACAAATTCTGTATTCTTAGAATAAGCTAGAACTTAAGTCTGAAGCATTCGAGCCAGCCTTCCCGGTAGTATAGAACTTAGCTGAGAAACATAAGAAACAATCTTGCGTTTTTCGACATTTGATTCATTATAAAAGGTTGGATTTTCAAAATGGAGAAAAGTACTTTGAACCTTATTTATTTAAATCTAGAAATTATTATAGAATTATTTAAATTCAGAAATCAATTGTAATTTGGTTTATTAGAATTCCAAATGGTTAAAATTTTTTCAGGGCAAGAAAGGAAGATGCAAAGATCTATAATTCTTCAACTCAATATGTGAAAAAATGGGTTACGAAAATCTTCACGTGCTATGGCAGAGCTCGCCAATTACTAATGTGTACTTCTCCACTACGACCCACTTATTGAAACGAAAATTTTGAATCAATGGTTTTAGAGTTTTCAAAAAGTTTGTTTTTCAGCGTTATCCATTTGGAATTTAATAAAATTTGGCTTAATGGCATATTAATAGGGTGTGCTACGAGCAACGGTTTTAGGCAGGATAAAAACTCTTAAATTCCCAAGCAACAAACTACATTCATTGAACTCGAAATCCGTAACTGGAAACAGTTAAAATTTACTTAATCACAAAATAAGGGAATGCTATTTTTCGCCGACAGGATTTTTGCAGTGAAAAAATGCCAAAAATAGAAGTGGAAATAAAAAAACGTGTCCGTTAATGTTTTCAGGTATTTAACATGTTTTTAGAAAGTGGAATAAAATTTCCCGCTAAAGACAACTAGTCTTACAATTCTGTTGAGGAAAGTTTACAGTCAAATTAAAAGTGATAAAAACTGCTTCGCTGACTGAATTGCAAAAGAGTAACAGGTTGCATTAACCGAGTGATAAGCGAGATGAATGAAGATGATATTAAATATTTTGTGAATGAATTAAAAATTGTGGTAATTAAAAAGAGTTACCTCATTGATAGCGTTGTAGAGTGATGGTATCACCACCACGCATGACAAAATTGCCATAGCACTGCAAGCTGCAGCAACTAATGCGATGATTTTCGCCTCATGCATGACTTCCGAAAGTGCTGTTCGACCACTCCAGTTATCCCATTTTATAGCATTTTGCGGCGTTTCACTCTTTTGTCTGTATTTTGCTCTCCGCCCCAAAAATCTAGCCGACAACTCACCCTCACCTCAAGGCCCTCCCACTTTTTACTACAATTTAAACTAACCAACCACATCTCTCCTTTTTTTCAATGTTCAAAACGGTGAACAGAAGTACTGATCCTTTTTGAAAACTGGTTAATTAATCATTGGGCTATTCTCATGCAGCAAATAGTCACTCTTTCATTTTGTGTGTCCTGCCACTGTTGTATGTATGCCGCCGATGTGGCGTACTGGTGAACATCGATGAAAGTTACAAAAGCTATATTGGAGACTGCGTATTGGAGTAGGTGTGGCTGCCTGCTATTTCGATGCGACAGTTACCATCTCACAGCGCTCCTGATACCAGTTTTCCAGGAATGTCAACTGGCAAGACAAGAGAAGGGGTCCAACCATACTACAAATGTAGAAAGAAGACAAAGAGTTAGTTAAATACGTACATACATATAGCTTGATCATTCGGCAACATACATATATAACACACACACACACACACACATGAAGACGTACTTTCAGTCTCTCAGTAATCATTGATTGTTTGTGTGAAGCATTAAGCTGGTGGGCTGAATTTAGAGGTGAATTACTTAACTTTACCACAAATGAGATTCTGACAGTCATAAAACATTTTGTTAAATAATTCATTGAAATACTTTCTCCTCTTCCAATAGATATGATACATTCCTTTTTAAAAAGAAATGTGTATTAAAACCGAAGTTCACTATGTAAATTTAGCTAAATGAAGTTCGTAAATAATTAAGAATTCAATTTTTTTGATAAACTTAATTAGTAAAATCATGTGAATAGGTAGGTAACTTTGGCATATTATAAGCTATCTCATCAGAAATGAGTATATATGGAACAATGGTCCTTTAAGAAATACACTTAGTGGGATCGTAGATTATTGCAATTGGGAATTAAATGCTAGCTTAATTCGTGCTGACCTTAAGAATTGTCCATCATAGTTACAGTTTTTGTTTAGAACAATTTATATAATTTAATAAAAAATATAGGAAGTGAAGCAAATTGATATGAAAAGATTGGAATGCATGGTTTTGTATTAGTTCTTTCATTTTTGACAGAGAAAAAAAGCATAAAATGTTCGCTAGTTATCGAAGGACGCAGTCACGGTTTTTAACTTCTGAAGTTATGCTTTGCTGTCTAGGAAAAGATTTGAGGAATTTTCAAATTATGAGGGAGAAGAAATATTGACGAAACCAGTTCATTTTCGGATCGGATACATATTTATTCCGTTTGTCAATAAAAATTCGAAACTGGTCCTTAATTAGCTATTTTTACCATCAAAGAACATACGAGCATGTACACACAATGCATATACATCAGTACGATGTTATTACATACTTTATTACATTTTTATTTTGAAATTTAGCTGTTATTATATTCTCTTTGAAGTTTCAATTTCGTTTTTCTATTGAACTTATATTCGCACTTGAAATACGGAAGTTTTATTGGTTCCACCTACTGCTTCATACAAATTTTCTTCAAATTTAATTTCTAGTGGTTTGGTTTAGGGAAAAGGAAGCTGTGGAACAAATGAAGAGGGAAGGGAAAAGAGCAGTTTGACTCTCTTCTATTCCTCTGAGAGCAATTATTCTAATTTTAAAGATTTACTTTTTGGAAGAAATTATCTCACTTTCCGAGCTTTTTATTTTTAATGGACAATCAGTGAGGTGAAAAGGAATTTACATTTCTTTAATCATGAACGCAAAATAATGATGTTTAGTAATAGGAAACTTGGGTGTTACAAATCTGATAAGGTTTGAAAACGTTAAGTTTAAAATTGATTCCATCACAGTTACCACAAAAAAATTCTGGAGGAAAAACTTTTTCCATTGAGCCACACTTCCATTGTAATAAAAAAAAGATTTTTATTAGTGGTTGGTAATAATATCCTGCCTAATCATTTCATCTGGATAGAAACAACGATTAATAACTAAACATTACTGATAAAAATGAAGATTACCATAATGAATTTTTCAGATCTCAAATATTTTTCATTCTTGCTCGTAATTTTTTTTCACCAAATCAAGTTACTACCGTTGTTCAAAATAAATCCAGCGATAAAAAATGCCTTTTTTGAAAATAAATTCTCTTACTGGCATCCATAAATTTCTTTTAACTTCCTCTTTTCTTACTCGGTTATAATAATTCATAGTTTCTACTTTTCTCTTAGTAATTTTCCTATTGAGCATCTTACCTTGCTGCTATGGTACCAAAAAAAACTTTCCGACCCTTTGAAAATTGTTTGCAGCGTATTAAAACGTGGGGCGAACAAGCTTCACATCTCAAAACTTAGTTGTTCATCAGACGATAATTATGTTGTGACTGGGTGACGGAATCAAATTTATGTTGTGTTTGCAAAACTTTGGATGAGATTCATCTTTGTTTCAAATTAATTTTATTTTTTGGAGGTGTACTGCTTTCACGCACTGATGATTAAATGAACAACAGTGTACCAAATTATCCAGTAAAGCACATGAAAACGTGTTCGCCACTCCTCATAATTAGTAATTTCACAACGATCAATCAATATATTTCATTTTAGAAAATATCTGGGTAGAACAAATTATGTTTTCTTGTTATTTAAAATTCGAAAACATTGCCAAAACATCTTAAGAGTAAACTTTTTTATTTCTATTGACTTGTTCAATATCCTTCATGAGTAGCACTGATCAGTTTGGGTAAGTTAAAACAGGAGGAAAAGTGAAAATTAATCTTGTGACAGCAAATGAAAGAGATAAAATTGTAAAAGATATCAAGTGATTAGCTCTCAGTGAAATCCTTGTAACTTAGGATTAGGTAAATTTCTTCAAATTCCTCAATTTTTTGTACTGAAATTGTGTTGAACTCTTCTTTTCAATCAAAATTCGTTATGTAACAAGGGTGACCTTGTAGGAATGCCTTCTGTTAGCTACCGTGACTCAATCAATTATTCATTCCAACACGCTTCCGCTTGTTTCATCTCGATCATGAGTAAAAAACGAGAGCAATTTCTGCAGTCGAATTCTCTTCATAGTCATAACCCTATATATGAAATTATAAAATTACAAATAAAAAAAATCAGCAGCGAAATTTTAAAGCACTCTTCGACGGTATATGAAGAAAATTCGGCTCCATTCTGGAGTGATTTGCAAAGGAATTTCCAGATTTAGTAACTTCCAAAATTTGATGTTGTTCGAGATATGTCACTGCACAAATTATGTCAGAATTAGTCTTTGGTTACTACTGATTTGAATAAAGGGAAACAGGTGTAAACTGGAAACAGTGAAATAAGAAATTTATTGCAAAATAACAATAATAATAATGTAAAGCTGAAAATGGGTACTGTCCTAAATGTCTTCAAGTGTTTATTTGAATCTCATCATTGGAAATAATCTGAAATAAGTGATATATTATAATTATAAATGCTTGACCATATATTGCCGCCAATGGCTCCATCTTGACGATGTAATAAATAGAGACGACGGCTGTTACACTGATCAATGTCCACTGTATACATATATTCTAGGAGATACAGAAGACTAAAAAAAGACACTTAGGAATTCTAAAGTACAACCAACAATGAAAGATTTATTGTACTTACATTATTGCCTTAACTAAGTGAAATGGTCTAGTAAAATCTGGATGGAGTTTGCAACACATTTCACGAAAAACTTCAAATAAATAGTGCAGCAACTGTTTCTCAACAAGATTAGGTAAATGCTGTAACAAGTTTAGGCTTTTTTTTCTCCTTTTTAATTCTATTTTCTGCAGATTTTCGCAAGTCAACTTCAGAGCAAGATAAACTAGGTCATAATTTACAATTTCTTTTATAGTTTATTGAGATTGAGATTAGTTGTCAGACAAAAGGTAATGACATTACTTTTGGAAGTAGGAAGGAAAAGATGTAAAGAATCCCAAGATAAAGGACTGAAGTTTAATTTCTTTATGATACCTTTCGAAGCAGATTAATCTCTCTGATTTAATGTTTGGATTTGATTATTATAACCTACTAAGTGAATCGTAATGTTGCAAGAAAAAATCAGCATATGTGATTCAAAGTTAAAAGTAGATCAGTGTATCAAAAAGTCACTGGTTTCAGGAAAAACTTCAAATTTCTGAGTGTTTGAGTATTTGGATTATGATTATTCAAAAAATAAAATGGATATAATTTTTAATTTTATTAAATATCATTTGTTAATGTCATGACTGGATGAAGTTCCTCCCTATATTTAGCAAATTCCTTCAACTAAAAAAAAAATCTTTAAAAAAAGATATACAAGACATCGGCATTTCATCAATTGTTTTAGAACTGTCTACATTTTCCCTTGAGAAGTTTGCTCACAAACATCTACTATTGGATTTTTCTTCGTCGTTCAACGGATCATTTAATATTTAAAAAAAAAAAAAAAAAAAAAAAAAAAAAAAAGGAAAACTACATTATATTGCAATATTTTGGTTCGTCAATTAAAGCACTGAAAGAACTCAGTGAGTGATAAATAATAAGTAAATTTCAACAAACCAGCTAATGGTTGAACACTGGTGAACAGTTTAATATCAGACGAATTTTCGCATAGAATGTGAAGTAGATATTAAAGATATCAAGATCTTATTAGCTAAGGCATCGATAGTTATTGATTCTATTTATTTCGCAAAATTAGAAATTTAAACCTAATTAACACAGTAATTAATAATGATTAGATCACAAATGAGAATAACACCAGTGTTATATGGAGCAGGAATTTGAACTTATCATTTAGGCTAAGATTTGATAAAATAATAAGAGCAATAGTACTTAGAGTTCCCACATTTTAACAATATTCTAAAGACCTGTAAAACCTGTTTTGTTGCTCAAATGAGAAATTATATAAAGTTTATTTTTAAGTCGCCTTCAAAATTTCAGATCTGCTGCTTAACCACTTCTTAACTGAAATATAAATGCATTTTATGATTGCTCTCGGGAATTGGAATTAAACTGCACACTTTAAAATAAGTCAAATTTGTTGATAACTTTTATTATTTAAGCTTAACTGAAATGAAGCATCAAATGAGAGTTGTGAAAATCAAAGTTGGAACAGAATTTTTTAACCAAATATAAAACAAGGATTTCTTGTCAACAGTAAAACGTGATACTTTAATTGAATTTTGCGATTTAGTTCATCATCTCAAACAAATTTGACAATATAAACCAATTTCACTCTAGCATAGTAAGTACTCATGCTTCAAGGACTACTTGCTAAATAGCTCATTTTTATATGTTCAGCTTTATGTATCTAAAACGAGATCTAAAATGTCATTTTCGGCACTCATACATGAACAATCTGCCACCAGCAGTTACTCAGATAAAATTAAATGTTGAAAGCATTACTTCTACTTCCACAAGTATATATTTTATTAGAGAAATGCTAGCAGAATTACTTCAAATAACCATGAAGTCCTAGTGAATATGCGAGCATTTGTCAAATAAATTCTAATGTATTAATATACTTTCATACAGTATATATTAGAAAAGTGTTACAGATTGGATTAACTTTCCTTTGTATCTTTACTACCTAAAATACCGCTCATTTGAATTTTTCTTTCATAGAGTGCGGGAGAGAAAGAGAAACGTTCTTCATTCGTTCCACTTCTCTACCAATCCAATTTTGCAATTCCTATTTTCCAATTAACAACTGGGAATGAGATTTAAATTGTTTGAAATGTGATCCTTTATTCACTCAGACGTATTTTGGAGAATGAATAAACCATTAGGAGGAATCAACTTATACATGTAACTGAGAAGCTCTTAGATTAATATAATGAATTCCCCTTTACACATGTTATGCGAGGTCATAGATACTATGACACCACTAAACTATGGTCCAGACAATCCAAAGTAAACTACTGACTAACTCTCCAGTATTTCTATGAGAAATGAGTTACCAAATTTAATGAAAAATGAATGGCAAAATTTGATAAATAAATATGAAATCTTCAATTTGATTAAGACTTTAGCACTGCAGCTTCATTTCATATTACACAATTTTAGTCTATAATACATAACGCGTGAATTAAATTCCTGAGCCACAGTATACGTGAAAAATTCATTGAGCAGTGAGATCAACATTAGAATAACTGACACCAAGCAAGAAAATAAAAAAATAAATAATAATAATATAAAATATCAATAAGACACGTGCACAATTTGGTCGAAAAAACGACATAACTTAAAAATTAGGATACAAAATATGAAAACAAAAGGATTTGACAAAATGAAAACATGACAATATATTAAGGAACAATTTAACTGAAAACAATCATCGAAAATACTTAATTTGCTGAAATAAGTTATTTCAAAAAATATATCTGCAACAATTACTACTTCAGTGTTATCTCTCTCTTTCTTTTCCTCTGATCTTTAGATCAGGCCACTTAAGATATTTGTGACGCTTTTTTAATCCAGTAACCATATTTCCTCATCCAAACTCTGACGATGTCCATGAAAATTTTACCATCTGGAACACGATGTCCTTAATCTACTGTTCCTATGAAAAAAGGAGACTTCAATTCTCACAAAATCTCTGCAAAACGTTCCAATTTTCAACATTACACTGTTACAGATTTTTCATTGAAGGGAATCTATTCAGCCATGAGCGAATATTAAACTGCGGATGTTTGACAGGGTTTGATCTCCAGGATGGAGATGATCATTCAATAACATTGGAGAATAAATAAACAAACAGCTAAAGAATTTTTAGTAACACAGTTACGGCCCTATTAGTAGCAAGTCAATTGAAAATTGTTATCGATTACAAATACATGAAAATGAAAACTGTGATTTTTAAGATTGGAATAAAAATAAGATATCCGGGACATAAGAATAACAATATATTACGTTATATAATACGTCACCAGTTAGTTAATGTCATGAAAATAATAAGAGCTCAATTTAAGAACCATTTTTACCGGTTTTCATTTTCCACCACACTTTCACATTTTCATGTCCTTCTTCTGTAATAACCATCAACCTCTGTACATCATGACACCATAGTAAGATATCTAAAAAATCCGACATTTTGCATGGGAAAAAGTGTTGAAAAAAAAGAAGGCGTGGTCGGGCCAGAGATAAATACAAAACGAATAAAAATCTCTATGGAAAGTAGGATGAAAAATCAGATAAATGATTTCAAAATATTCTTAGAGATACTCTGAGATATGACGTATCCTTTCAAACCGAAATACTCTTTTTCAGATTCAAATGACGAATAAACAGCAGCACTGCAGAATGTTAAACGTCGCCTTTCGTCTTCCCAAAGTTGTATCTGATCTACCACAGTTATGGGTACACTCTGTATCATTCTTCCATATTCAGTTGTTACTGCACAAGTTATTGGATGAGCATTTCTACTCAGAAATGCTATAATTTGTGCTGCTGTTATACCAACCTATAAAATATTATGTCTCTTCCAAACATAAATCTTTCAGTAAATTCATGAAGTGATAAAGAATAAACAAACTACAATTACCCAGTTGATATACCTGAAATGCTCTTCTTACAGCTTCACGAGAAAGCACACCCACAGACATATCGCTGAATCTGAAATCAAAGAAAAATTTCTTGAAAAAAACCAAGAAAAACTACCAACAAGAACATCACTAATTTGTAGGAAAACCTGTAAAGCATTTCTGTAAATGTCGAGAGTATTGCAAGCTGTAAGTTTGAATCTGTGTATGCATAAACACGATAATTTGTTTCCACTATCACAAAACCGTTCTGATTACGGTTTTCCATGCCTGCTTCAGATGTATTGGAAATACCGGTCAAATGATTGAGCAAAGGAGTTAGAAAAAAAAACCTGCAAAGAACAATAAATGACAAAAACTTGTTATAACTAATCGAATAGTACTCGTTGTATAGTTGAAGAGAAAGAAACTTTTGAATATGACTATAAATTACCCGTCTTTTCGCTTCCTTATAAAAACTAATCCCAATTCCCTGAGGTGCATCAGAAAATCCTTGATAGTTTCAGGCCAGTTTTCATCGATAATAAATGCCCGACTACCGGTAGGTCGCTCTTTATCCGAACCATTAACCACTCTGGTACCACCACATGTACTACCAGAATATAAAGTTAATCTAAACACCTCTCAGTTACTGTTATCGAAACCAATGAAAGAGTGAATGAAATATTTATGGAACATTATGAAGAAGGAAGGAATTCAGAAGGTAGCAGTAAAACAGCTAAGGAAGATACTTGAATAAAAAATCAAGTTCCTTGACGATATCGATACCAGCTACTTCTTGCATATGAAAATAATGTAGGAGGTAGGTCCAAATTTGTTCCGGCCGATTTAATAAAAGAAATTGAAAACCGGCGGATGTTATTTCTATGTCGCCATCATCTAAAAAAGAATTGTTTTTTTTACAACATTCAGGTATAGATTAAAATCTGTGAAAAATTTTAACTGATTTCTTGATAAATTCTTGAAAAATTTTAACTGTTTTTTTGATAAATTCTTCGTACCGTTCTGTTTATCACTGTTTGAATTTCAGTTAATCTACCGCTCGTTCCTATTCATTCTGGTCCCCTATTATTTTTATTTTTCACTGCAGACCTTATAAAAAAAAAAAAAAAAAAAGCATATAATGTGCAGAATGCCAACTAATGCAAAACAACTGCTCACCGTATGCAGATTCCCACCACATACAATTTTCTCATAATTATAGCCATGATTCCGATATAAAAATTTGAAAAACAACAAAAAGAATAACCATTTCCACTGCTAGTTAGACCCGCAGACCTAAAAAGCCTTTTAGTAGTACCACTGACACCTTGTTCGCTTTTCTGAGACGGTAAAGCTAAATAATGTAATATGCATTCCCATCTTTCAACAGCTTTTTTTCCGAGATCTTTATTTGCCGATTTTCGAGTTTTCTCATCACAGTCTGTAACTACACTGAGTTCTGATGCTTTGCATAATCCAATACGAGTTGCCTTAAGGTATGCACGACGATATACCTGCTGGAAAAGTACATTTCATCAATTTCGACCGACCATTCAATGTATTAAACATTATGTTTAGAATAAACAGTTAATCCACCAAAAGAAATTTATTAAGACATCTTTTGGCTATACTAACTGTGCTATAAAATCTGTAGCTATAAAAAATTTAATAGATAAGACTTTCAACATATTTAAAACATGCATTTTTCCCAATCAATAAACTAAGAAAAAACAACAAATAAAAAGAGATAAACGCACATTAAGCATGACTTCTTCATCTCCAATAATTATCTTTAGTTTCTTCAATGCATTGATATGATTTATCACTGCTGCTTCGAAATCTGGAGATGACCACGCACGCCAACCGCTAAAAAAAGTAGTGACTATTTCGATTCTGGTGTCAGGAAATAAGAATCATACTACTGTTAACATGTACATCCAAATACATAGCTTCTGCAAGCGGCTCCAATCGTACTTTTCATACGTCAGTTTTTAGAACCAAGAGATGCAAACTGCACTGCAACGGAGATATCTGCAACTAGCCTTTACTTGTACTCGAAGAGTCCATTCCATTAACTGCTTATCTTGCTCAATATCTTCCAAAGCATTGGATCAAGAAAGAATTCACGTAGAAATCGGGAAACTCTTTAAGACAGCAAAACTTGGGCCCCTTTCAATTCGCATACCAAATTCGAAGCATTCGAAGAATCGTTTCGAATGCAGCGTATCTCCATGTTTGGCACAACCAGTATTCGTGCTTTGGTGATTATCTTCATTGATTCTGTGAATTTACAACCGAAATATCAAGGCGTACAAATAAAACCCGAAAGATCTAATGTACAAACACTTTACATCCCATTTTGTCGTAAAAACATCTCTCATCTCAAATTAGACTAAACTGATCTAAAAATGAATACCGTTTAGGCCACTTCAAGAAATGAAACTGCATTTGACTTAACCATCCATAAACGAAAGCGGCAATTCTCGAGTCAAGGATTTACAATCTCAAAGAAACATTTCAGAACGATGTCCATACTCATAGGAACAATTACAGTCACGCGATTGAACCCCACCAATATACAAACAACAAACACAAACCACAACCGAAACTTCCCAAATTTCAAAAACTTACCAATTCCTATTACTGCCACTTAACCACAGCATTTTCAGGATAAGCTGTTGTGAAAGTTCCGGCAAAAGTCGGAAAATGGCAAATGACACTGCGGGATACGAATACAGTTTATTTAGTTGGTCAGTGGCACGGCTACTCAGGTATTCCAGTAATGGCTGTCCATTCCAGTTCGACATTTGGACCACCTCATAAAAATGTGAACCAATTTTTCGAAAAAAATTAAGAATAGTTCGGAATTTTGTGATCATTAAATTATTTAAATTGTGAAAAATTTTTTCTTTTAAATCCGTATAAACGTCAATACCATACGCATCATCTTTACATAAAATTTATTAATTTGCAACACAAGTGAAGAGTTACAATCTTTAAAAGAAATCTGATTTGTAAGATTATATATACATACATCCGTATGTATATATGTATATATATATATATATATACATATATAGAAAACAAATACATATGGCCAACAAAATAAAGAAAATCAATTTATTCAAAGAGCACCATTAAATATAGACATAAAAAGTTAAAATATACAGCCATGTACATATACGATCATTTATTTAATGCGAGATAATATTTCTCAACGTACACCAAAAAATTAACTATCTCTTCAACAGACACAGCTGGATGTTGTTGATAAAACTGTCCAGGAAAACCTAACAGCCAAAAACTGCAATCAAAACATACGAAACTCCTCAAACTTATTTTTGTATTGGTATATATTTTGCTTGCAAAAAGGATAATTAATAATTTTAAAGTAGCATAATGCCTATTTTAACAAATTTTTTGAGCAGAACATAAAGCAGTAAGAGGACATGAACAAAAAAAGGACATGAACAAAAGCATAATCAATATACCGAAAAAGCAAAAATATTGAATCCCTCGGTAAAGATCCTCTAATCAAATACAAATCTAATTCAGATTAATTCTAGTTTCGAAATTTCTGTTGAAAATCGCGATAATACACCCATCACACAAAAAAATCCAACAAAAAAAAAAAAAAAAAAAATTGAAATCCAACATAAACTAGCGTGATATTTTTTTACTTGAGTGGAAGAGATGAATTTTCAATCCCTATTCTATTTCCAAGAAATCTTTAGGAAGCAGAGGATAGCTCATCAGTTTCAAAAACTGAAGCTATCCTATGTTTCCTGAATATACATACAAAAAACAAAAAAGTAAACTATTAACTACTATAATATGACGTGAATGAAAAAAAGGCTGGGATAACAAGTCTACAGAGAAATAATTCTTCACATGGCAGTGAGCAAATAACTTTGGCAAATGGTATAATAAAGTTTTTGTTTTGGTATCGATTTGGATTTCGAGACTTTACAAAACTTCCTCCAAGTTCAATCTAACGAACATTTAGAATATTCAAAAAAGAACTGTAAGTAACAAGAAACACTCACCAAAATCAATGGAACATAACAAAATTTGGTAAACGACAGCTACTCAGTTATTGCGACGACCATCTCTTCTGTCGACAGTAATTAGTTCACCAGAATTATTAGGAGTCAAATTCACCGCGATATTTCCGGATACTTTATTTGAAAGACCATGGGAAGAAGCAGAACAATCTGTCGTCGAATCTACAGATGGCTGAAGTGCCATTAAAATAGCTTGATATAGAGAAGCTGCTTCACGTACGTGATTAAACTTCAGAACAAAAGCTTGCAACTCTACTGATAACGGCTAAAAATAAAAATTTAGTCGAATCTTTGGTACAAGGTATTGCAAAAAAAGAATTTTCAACTCTTCAAATACACTCCAAACATTTCAAGCTATCATAATCTACTGCATATCGAGATTATGAGATTAAAATTTTTAAAATTAAAAAGTTATTAGCAAAATGCAATTATAACAAAAGAACATACACGAACATCCCAAGTACGACTTCGAATAAGTGCTGAAAGAAAAACGCACACCACCCGTACTTGACGGCACTGCATGAACGGTGTCTGATCTGGTTCCTCACAACGACGTACACATGTTGCAATATAACTGTTGAGATATTCTTGTGGAAATTCAACTTGCTAAATTTTTTGATCAGTTTTACATAAACAATGGAAAAATAATCAACTAGCAGTATGAGCATTCATAAATATTAAGCTCTATTTCTTCTGCGAAGGAGATGATACAAATGATGCCTTAATTATATTCTATACCAGTTTTTAGCCAGGTTTTTTCTAAGTCGACACTCCAATTACTTTCTCCACTCTTTACATTTCTTTCAGAAAGCTATAAAAAGGCTTATGTTGTGTGTGTACATTATACACACAAAACATAAGCCAGGAACAACATAGACTTGCGTTTTTGTTCTTATGTTGCTCACGTGACTCCTACAACCCTTATTTTTTGATCCGATATAAATCCTACAGCAATCATGAGAAAGACAAATTATTGCAACTACAAAATTCGAGATTACATAAGCTAATTTTCTATATTTCAATAAGCTGATATGCAAGTTCAAAGATTGAAAATGATCTTTTTTTGCTTTTATTCAAAGTGGTATATAAGACGCTCAACAAAGATGAAAAGTGAAAGAAATTGGAATAATATAGTTGTAAGTTAACAACAGCAAAACTGTTCAAGTTAAAATTCCAACCACAACTTTAAGATTTAAGACTATTCAAGTTATTAAATCTTAAAACATACGGTACACAATCTGTTTACTACTTCCATGGCTTGTACTGAGATCTTCATTCCAGCAAGTAATTGAAAAAACCTGTAAACAAATACAACAATCAATAAATACGATACAGAACTAAAAATGAATAATAAACTTCAGAAAAATAATTACTGAGGCAATTCGCTGCAGTTTTCGGTGATTCGGGTTACAATAATAGCTGCTGCAATTGCCGGGTTATCATCAATATATTTATCAAACTGAAATTTACAAATTTGGACTATGAGAACTATGATTCCTGCAATGTAAAATCTAAATTTTTAAAACATAATTTAATAATGGATTAAATACAAATGCAACCTTGGTTAAGGGGATATCTACAAATTTGGCCAACGAAGGATCTTGCGCAATAGCTTCAGCTAATCTCTGTGCTTCTGTTCTTGCGATGATTGACACCAAAGATTTTTTTAGCAGTTCTGTAGCCTCCTCACACGTCATCGGTTGTTTTTTTTCGGATGAAGATGATACAGCCGTTTGACACTGCAGTAGTATTATAAAAATATCATAATCGAAAAAGAAAAAAGAACTTCCATTTTGACTTAAATATATACTTCGGAGGTTGGAGGCGTTGCATCCGTTTCTGGCTCTACCAGAGTAGCACTGATGAAGGCATCAGTTTTTCCTGACATTAAGAGCGCTGAAGACGTGCGGCAAGGCTCAACCAATTTTTTATTGTCTGATACAGGCGTCACAATACCGGGAAATGAAGAGCCAATCTGCAAGGACAATATCATTTTTGGATAAAATTAATAAAAGCGAAAGCTTAAACAAACAGAGAGCGAATCAGAAGCATACAATTCAAATACATTTAAAAACAGATTACTTAGAGCAAACCTTATGAGAAGCATCCACAGAATCAGAACGTATTTCCTTAATTCTAACAGGAGATGTTTTCAACTCAACATTTTCTGGTTTCTCACTTATTATCCGGTTTTCATGAACAGTAATCATTGGGTTACAAACTCGAGAGACGATGGATAACGCTCGTACATTCTGTTTCTCAACGCTCGTTTCCACCCACATCGGATCCAAAATGAAAGGATACAGAAACTGAAACTGAAAAATATCGGCGTAAAACAAGAACACATATTACGATATCTTGCTATAGGATTAAAAATTTTCACACTGATGCTAAAACTGGAAATAAAAGATATGCAAACTTAGTCCTACCTCGTCATCTGAAGGAGGCATTAATGTAGGTGTGACGCGATGAAATGAAGGAGGAAGAATATCAAATAAATAAGAATTTGTTAACAAATTGGGAAGCAACATAGATGCCAGTGATTCGACGCCAATTAACTTGTCTCTAAAAAGGTAGTCCCTTAATTAAATCCATTTTTGAAGACTAAAAAAGATAATTTACTGAAATCACTATACTTTGCTATATAATAATAATACTGCAAATCTCATTTAAAAGTAAACGCAAACCATACTGATTTTTCATTCTTTCGTTTAATATTCTGATAACAGCTGGAGCAGTCACAGAAGCAACCGAAGGATACTTTGCTTGTCGATTTTTAAGCGCCGTTATATGCTGCGTTACATCAAAATCCTTAAAACAAGCAAATAAAAGTTTAAAAAAAGCAATAATAATTTATTTCAGTAAAAATACAACCTGCTCTGGAATTTTCATCATAGTAATGTCGACTGGAGTACGATTGGTAATTTTGTCCAACATTTCTGTTAATAAACAACCAGTAATGTATTTCTCACGAGCTCCAAGTTTTGGACAGCCCATCATTTCGACTTCTACAGAATTATCCTTCGAATGTTTGTCATATTCCTGAAAAATGTAAAAAAGTGCAAACTATGGTAAATTAAAATGTTTCAGTTTTTTAATTACGCGTCAAGCACGAGAAATTGTCCACATTACCATAATGGATAGGAAAAAAGAGAGAAAAGGATGTTGAAGAATATCGCCCTTTGTTGCTACGCCATCCAGTTCAGCAGATCTGGAAATAATAAGAGAAGACAGAATGAACATCAGAAATAACAACATAACTGAAGTGCTAACTAAGTAACAGAATTATCCAATATTAGGTGTCCTTTCCAATATTTTATACCAAATACTAATAAAATATTAATAAATACTCATAAATGCCGATATCGATACTATTAATAGTACTCACTACCAATATTAAAAACCACGAGATAAGAAGAAACCTGTACAACAAATAAATAAGGACCACTCGATTTCTCAAATTTTCAATACCGTCAGATTCTCTAAACGCCAACAATAAAGCATAACCAATAGAAAAACTACTGTGCTTTCCATTGAAGTTCTGGAAATTCTTGCTAATAGCAGATTCGTACGGAAAATCACTATCAAGAAGAAACATTTAATCAGACTAAGACGTTAGAGGTTTGTCAAAAAAAAAAAAAAGGAAGAAAAGGAAAATATGAAAGCCAAAAAGAAATGGTATGCATAAATTAAAACTTACAAAGAGAAAGACATCACCGATAGATTTAAACGTTTGTACAGTGCTACGACACAATCTAAAAAACCGCAGTTCAAGAAGTGCAGAGCTGTAGAGAAATCATACAATGTAAAAAAAAAAAGAGAAAAAAATTACTTCATTATCGTCTCCACATCCTTTTCTGTTATTTTAGGGCAGAATCGCTTTCTCGGTACCATAACTTCTTCCAAACATTTAATTATCTAGGCAAATCAATATCTGTAAAATCGTTAAATATTTAATCCTTTCTTGTTCTTGCCATCAATTCGATATTACCAACTAACATTGTACGTAACATAAAAAAGCTTCCAAACATCTTCATATAAAGTATGGATGAGAGTCTCTCGACGTCCAAAAGGTCGCCATCACTGACTCTCCAGACCACTTCAAACTCAAGGAAAAGGCAACTTATTCAACGATAGGAATTAAAATCAACCTGAAAATCGACATACAGAACTATCGTTCATCAGCACAGAAAAAGCTGAAAGTTGATGAAATCAAAACTTTTAAATCCAAGACTATAAATGCTAAAAAAAGGTACTTAAACTGTGTCAGCGTATCGAAACACACAAAATGAGCTCGTTTCCACCGCACACAACCATTCGTCACACACTATCAGTTTGCAACCACATTCGCGAATCGGTCATAAACCGAAGTGGTCATTTTAGGGGGTACGACTAGGCTGCTGAAGATAACATTTGCAGTAGTAAGAAAGCCTTTACTGCACTTCTCAGTTTCCACGTAGCATTTACGACTTTTCCTGTTTATCTTCGACACTGCGTTACCTTGTCGCTCCGTTATGTTTCTAGCAGATTATCATCACCCTTGCTCCGCACTTCTCTTCCGTCTAGGAAGAACAACCGACTTTGATTTCATAACATATTTGAGATGAAACATTGGGTTCATTCTCGTAGGTTTTTCTAATATCCATTGCCTGCGAGAAATCGAGTTTCTGGTCAAGATTGAAACAACTAGAAAAGTAGTTTACCAAGCTCGAGTAAGTTAGAAATCGGGACCTTCCTTCTTTGTCAAGACCGCATGCCGTGGAGATGTGGACATTTAGGTCACCAATTGTGACTACCAATTCATTTAGCTATTTTCGAACACAACTATGAGCTTCATTTTTTTATCATAGTTAATGATTACAAAGAAGAGAAGTAGATGCATGAAAAAGGCAAATGGTAATTTTGATCAAATTCGTCAATAACTTCAGCAAGCACGACCGTTTACTCCTTAATTGGTAAAAGGGATTAGTTAGAGATCCGAAATCGGTATTTTGGAATGGAATTGTTACTCATTTAGTTATGAAGGAACCAGAAACAAAAAAGACGAGCGGAGCGGAAGTTTCTTATTCTTATTACCTGGTTAATGACAGAATAAAACTGTATGTTAAATTCGGTGTTCCCTGAAACAATCGAAAAAGTCGCCAGATATTCTTCACATGTAACGAAAACTTCCGACCTTGGTTTTTCTTAAAACTGCAATTAAAATGGGAATTTTGGGAATTCTTCATATTTTGATTTGACATTCTAAATTTAATTGGAGGTGCTGTTGGCAAAAGATGGCGTTACGTCGAATTTCAATTCATCAGGGAAGTCATGACTGCTGCCATTCCTCCTAAGCAGGATACCAACTCCGTTCAGCAATCTTCAGCATCAGAGCATCCAGACAATCGATGCAACATGATTAAATCACATGAAAATTAAACAATAGCTGTCAGAAGCTTTTTAGTTTCATTCAATATCATCGGAACAACGATGCAAAGAATGAATACAAAAAAAAAAATCCTACAAGGTTTTGATCCGTTGTTACATTAGCTTCTCAATGAAACATGAAACCTCTTTCAGTTTGCTTTAGTAGAAGTAGTAAAAGCAAATTTAGAATTTCTTTCTTACTGCCCTGTTTCCTTGTCAAACAAAGTCGTTTTCTTTTCTTGATGGTTCAGATCGTTGACTTCTTTGTCCTCGATACTAGTAGAATCTCGAATCTGTACTGGTTCCGTTCTGTGTACGTGTACTGTGGAAGTCCTAATGAAATACTTTATTATTCAAACCTCAAACTTGGATAATTAAACCACAGATTAACATCAAAAATTATACAGCATTACAATAATGAATTGATACATAACACACAAATGTAACTTAATTATAAACCTTTTAAAGATACAAGCAAGCTAGACACCTCGCAACCGATCCATACCAAACAAGGAATTATAATCAATGGCTTTCTAAGGAAGAAAATTGGGAGGGATTTTATGGGTGTTAAGGTTACAAAGTAGATTAAAATCACTTAAAACAATAGCCTTTGTTCACTACGTTATAGCTTCGTCATTGTGGCGACAGAAGTACTTCCGCTGTGTTGGTAGTGGAAACAGATCCGGTTTCAGTGTGTTGCTACTTCATTGCGTAAATTGCGAAGCTCAGCTTTCTGTTATATTCCTAAATATGAGAAATTCTAAAATGCCTCATCCAAACACGTTTCTGAAACTTCGCATATCTTAATGAATTAGTGTTGTCAAGAAGCAGTGCTACTTTTCTGTTGAACAGCTATTGACATAAATGCCATCGGATCTCCTGAGACAAAACTCTGTAAGGATCTTCATTGTTTTCTGAAAATCATGACAAATTGCTAGGAATTTTCAGCGCAATTAATATACTTACCGAGAGGATCAAAATTCGTGACATCTGTGATTTGTGATCGAATTGAAGATTCACTAGCGCCTGATGACCTGTGAAATTTGCGACCTCATCCATGAATTTTCCCGCTAAATTATTGTACACTCTCGTCAGATTTGGTGCTCCAGTAATAACCTCAAAAACCATAACCGTCTTAAGAATTGTTTCTATATATGAACTCACCAAGTCCTGGAAAATTATACTAAAATCAAAAAGCTTGAAGCAGACTTTTTCAACAGATGTTCGTACAGGTGGTTCAGCAAATGTCTATGACACACATGCTTAACCATAGTAACATACTTTTCCTATTGTACATGAAATATAAACGGTACAGGACAGTCGTATAAAACTGCCTCATATAATGTGAATTCAAGTGAAAAGCTTTTTTCATATGCTGCATCTGGCAATCGATCCGAAACCTACATTTATAATACATACTAAGAAACATTTCATGGATTACGACCTGTGCAGCATCTTGATTTATGATCGCATCTTGATTCTTATGTACAATGAAATATTTTCGACACTAGGCCTTGAAATATCGGCATCATATTCTGTCAGAGTAATTTCGATCGTTACAATGAAATTAATCAAGAAATAAAGTGCTAATACTTGTTATGAGCGATGTTCCAGTTATGTCATATCCTCAGATTGCTAGTGTTAACTGGTGGATGATCCTTAACTAAAACTGACTCCTTGTCGCCCAAAATAGCAAGTTCAGATTCTAGCTTGTGATTTTCCCATGCAGAGACGTTTTCTAAACATTCAAGTTCATTTAACTACTTCCTGAAAAATTCAAACTCTATAAAAAACTTTTCGGTACCTATCTATCTCATCAAAAGCAATTGAACCAGCATTAGTTATGGAACGTAAGTTTAAAGAAAATAAATGTCCAGAATTTCACTTATAATTTCCAAAATTTCAGGATGTCAACTCACAATAAACTATTAAACATTTTACAGTCATTTCATCATACGTTTACAGCACTAGGAACACCACTGATATATTAGACTGTCAACTATACATATAATGAAGTATATTGAACATTTTTGGCCATACATGCCATCAATTAAAGGAGTAGGAGAAAACCTGCGTCCAATGTTGACGTGTCCATAGGTCCCCTAGAATGCTCTTCTGTCATCAGAAAATGCTTCATTCACAAAATCTTCGTTTTCACTAGGATTGGCATCAAATACTTCATGTTTTTCAGGTATGTTTCTCGGTTTTGTTTCCTATAATATCGGTAATTAACAGGAAAATTAAATCTATTTTAGATTTAGTTTGGCTTTTAGGACCTTATATAGATATATAAAATTCCGTAGGATGCATATCGCCATATGTATTATCCGACAAGTTAATGCATGAGAAATCTGAAATTTCTAAAAACAAAGAATTTTGTTATTAGCAAAATCTTGTTTCGCTGTGATTTAAGTTGCTCGAATGCTTTTCTCGCTTAGACAAATATTGATGCGCATCATTCCTAGTATTGAGGACATAATAAATTTGCCACTAAAATAAGAAGTTTTAGCTGTCTGATTTTTTTGTTCTGCTGATTTTAAAAAAATTAGTGGCTGATATTCTTAAAAAAGTGACATTTACCTTAGGCACATGCTGCGGTACTGAAATCAAATTTCTTTTTTAACAACAAAAAGTGCGATATATTTTCTGCTAAAACATATGAATAATTAATTGGAGAATATAGTCTCTGAAATGATTGTTATTCCAATTTAGGCTTAAGTCTCAAGCTAACCAATTCAAAGAAGATGATCTTGCTTGTTATTTCTACGATTCAGCTTCAGAAGCTAGAAGTTCCCTTTGTCTTTCCTATAAAATGTTCGGTTCGAAGATGTGCTGCATTTGCTGCATTAACAGTGCTGGTTTCTGGATAAAAAATGCGATATGTCATCGCATTCTGAAAATACATTTACCTTGAATTTTTGACTTCGTCTGATAACTGTTACCAACTTATTCGACTAATAATGATGTTACTACATTATCGACTGGTAACTATCTATAAATAGAGTAAAAAGGAAATTTGGAACCTCTTCTATGCAAATTCTAGATATACCAAAAAAAACCAAGACATCACAGCTCGTTCATCAAGATATGCAACAATCTTAGCTCCACAAATTTTATTATATAACACATCGGGCATTCTTTCACATAAATAAACTGAAAATAATTTAATTTCTAATTTATCCTAGTTTAATTTTTTTCTAATGTAAATTATAGTTAACTGCCTGGTCAACCAGTAAAGGAATTGCAATGATTCACATACTCATTGAGTCCTGAAATTGGCGACATTCGTAGATTTGAAATGCCGAAGGATAAACATCAGCTAATAATGATACCATATGCACTACAAACCATTGAAACAATTCAATTCATCTTGTACCGCCGTTTCCATGTCCTCCTATTTAGCTTCACATTTAGCCACTTGATTCTAAAAAAAAACCTTAACTATCGATTTAACTTTAGTTCTCTTAAATATGTGAATTGCCAAT